ACACGCTTCCTCCTCGACGACTGGGCGCTCCCCAGCCATTCAGACGGAAAAGCACTAGTTCATCAAATCATAGTTTTCTACTGGTAGAACTGCCAGTTACGAGTAAACATCAATTTCTCATTGGCTCTCACGTCACAATGTGTTGCAGGAAGTGATATCAGAGCCCCGTTGAGTATCATCGTTCTCGACCTAAATACACATTCAAATACAGTACTGTATAGCCTCATCACAGAATCAAATACAGCCTATCAGAAATTAAATATTTCCTACCAGTTTTTAATGGTGGAAATGGTTCTCGTATAACGCTGAAGGGCAGAGTAAGGTTATAAGGTTGCAGTACATGACACTGTTCGGAGAACAAATTTAAATATTGTAAATGTGTGTACGCGCGCGTATGTTCCCCCTGGTGTGGTGACGGGCAGGTGGACACGACTGGCAGTGTGGTGTTGTCAGGCGGATGGCGGGAACGTGACATGTAGAGCTAATTAACATGTACTGCTGTAATGTAACGTTGAACGTCAGCGGCTGCGACGGATAGAACGGGCAGCGAGGAATTTTGAGTCAGGAATGTGATGGATAGAGATACAGAGAAAGAGCGAAGGGTTAAATCAACGATTCTAACACGAATCTTCTCTATATTTCTTATATTCCTCTTCACCTGGAAAGGAAAGGACAAATTAATAATCCAAAGTTCATTTTAAAATTGTATTGGTACTGATATGCGTCGCAAAGGGAGGCGTTTTGGTTGAACTCTCTTCAACATCTTAGGAGGCAGAGGAAAAGTGAATAAAAAAATTAGCAAGTTTGACATTACAGGTATATATAACTATGCGGGACAAGGTGAAGTGTTACCCAATCTAGGAAACTCCGCAATCTTGTTCTGCATTCTCATTGACCGGCTTGGACAGTAGATGTGGAGAGTTGACCGACTTCGACAGTAGATGTGGAGAGCTGGCCGACTTGTACAGTAGATGTGGAGAGTTGGCAGTTGATTTGGTCTTGTAGATGGTAGGACAAGTGTAATCTGGCTATCAACAGTTGGACGAGTGTTTTATATGTGTATTGTTCCAGCCATGTCTAATCTCCTATTGTTATATCTGTCGATTATTTCGGTGTTGTGAGTCAGAATATATTCTGGTTGCATGTAGAAATATGATCTTGGATAGACCCTTGTTTGTGCATTACCAGCCGCCTTTGAAGATATGCTATCGTCCCTGTATATTAAAATCGTGGACTGTTAAGCCCCAAGTGAGTAAATTAAAGGTATACACGACATTCGTCTCTTTCAATCCATATTATTTGGTGTCTGAAGAGTTCTTCATGAGCATATTGGCGGTCTTTTTACTCTTGTAGTATGTGGCGAGCTGTATCTTCTGGTTAGTGTTGGTAGCTCATTTGAACAAGTGAACATCAGATATTATCACTCGTTTTCATCCGTACAAAACAAGTTCCATGTTAGAGGAAGAGAGGAAGAGCTCGAAAATAGAAGAAGTGATGAATCTTGGAGTCTGGAGCACCATTTTCCTCCAAGAACCTTCACGAGGAGTAAGTCTCTCCTTCGTAAATTGAATTCCACTTCCTGATGACGAAAACTTTTTAATGAAATTTACTTAAGAAAATTGTCTCTCTCCAGTCTGTTAAAGATGTTTGTGTGCGTGTGTGCCTGCGCGCATATGTGTGCACGCTTGCGCATGCATGTGCATTTTGTTCCATCTCGTCTAACTTTAAATGGTTTGTACAACAACCTAAATTTAGTATATGCTCAAATAATTTGGACTGTCTTTTAAAAATGCAGAGGAATATGCTACATCAGGAAATATATATGTCAACTACGCCACTTTTCTAACCCAAGGTCCAGAAGCCGCATACCATTCTGGACACAGGAGTGGAGTTTTCCTTGGGAGATCATAAACATTATTAAAATGCCTCGAAACTTGAATAGTTACAAACTTGCTCTTGTGCAGATAACAATTTACACGAGTTTTTACTCAAATTATGTATGGCACAGAGATGTGTACTCAGTTTCAAGTGTAGATATGATAGAGCCCAATAGGCTCAGGAATCAGTACACCAGTTGATTGACGGTTGAGAGGCGGGACCAAAGAGCCAGAGCTCAACCCCCGCAAACACAACTAGGTGAGTACAGAGAGGTATACCCACACTTCTCAGTGTACATACACGGAGAGTTTACTTCAGTCCTGGCCTATTCAGCGACTAGATTATACTTGCTGGTTGGTCAGTAAGTTATTGTGGTGGGCTTAATGACATTCTATAAGTTGTTAAGCGCAACACCGCATCACTAGGTGATTAGTGAATTGTGAAAAAGATTAGTAAAAATCATTCCAGAAGTCAACTCTCATACCAGGAACGGTCAAGGGCCACTGGGCTAACAACATTGCAAACCAGGCATGACAGGGCGGATCTCATTGAAACTTAAAATATTGGACAATTTGGAGTATATTGATTCAGGTCACTTCTTCAGAAAGTCAGATGTAACACAAGGAGCAACGGTTTCAAGCTCAGTAAGTCATTATGTAGGACTTTTTTTGCAGGGATATTCCTGTGCGGGCCCTAAGCCTCTGGTTGGCCCACTAAGTGTTGCTTGTTTCTGTTTTACTAAGGCAGAGTATGAGTATTTATAAAACTCGTATGGTCGCTTCAGTAAGATTCTTCCCAATGTGTTTAACAACGTCTTCTGCTCTGTTGAATCTTAGTTGAAATCTTAATGGGTTTGTAACTCTGCACTGTGTTAGATAATGTTCCAGTGGTCTGTCGGGTATTTCTCCAGTGCTGACATTTCCTCTCATTTAGAGCTAAAAATATCTACACAGAAGTCTAAGGCAATGAGAATAGGTGGCAACACGCCAGAATGTAGGACTGAAAGCAGATGCTTTTTCACCCACAGGGTTATAAACCCACGGAACCGTCTACCAGCCGAAGTTGTAAATGCCAAAACTCTGCTGAATTTTAAAATCCAGCTTGAAAAAAATCATTAGGACAAATAAAGGGACCTTTGACAAGTCGCCAGCTACCTGTCCTCGTCGAGGCCACTAGTGTTAGTGGCCCTCAAGTACATCCAGGTAATATATGTACCTAGCTCACATATGTGTAAACTGTTCAGCTTAAGAGACTTGTTATGATTCAGTTCTTCAACCACAATAAGTCACAATATACACAATAAGTCACATTGGGTTTATGAGAGTACATAGCAAGATGTGTATACATGTACACAATCGACTTGAGAATGGTCCAGGACGGACCGAAACGTCGCCGTCCCTTCAACTTCTAGTGTGTGGTCTGGTCATCATACTTCAGCCACGTTATTGTGACTCATCGCCTGCATGTGTATACATTCTTGTAAAGCCACTAGTACGCACATCGTTTCGAGCAGAAAAGACCATACAAGACTTGATATTTACATCAAACTACTTATCAAGCTTGTAGCTTGGTTAGCTACATTAATTTTAGAGGTTTACTTCCTGAGCCCATTATGTGCGTCTAACTGTTCCATTTCCGGCCATGGGATGGGTGTAGAACAGTGGGGAATATACGATCAACTAAAGAAAAGAAAATTAAGATAAGCAACAATAAGTCAATCCAAATGAAAAAAAGTCAAAACCTCATCTACTCTAGATCTTAATTTACATTTTAAAGGTAGAAAAGCAACAAAAATACGCTGACCTTGCCTATTTGTTTTATGTAATGGCAAAACCCTATTAATATTACGGACACATTATTAATATTATTAAGCCACAATAGGCTTGCGCTCACTGCAGAATAATAAGCCTTGAAATTATATATCCTCCTAAAAGAAGTATCGAGCTTTAAATAATTATATGGTCAGGAAAAACAACAGAGTAGCCTACACCGTCTGCAGACTTATACCCATCGGTGAAGATGGGAAACTGAACGGGAATGTGAAGACAAGTGTTCAAGGAAAAGGCGTTTCAGAACTGTAGGAGGGGGTGAAAGCTTTAGTGATGTGGGTCAGGGATTTGCAATATCAGCAAAGTTACTAAGTGAGCCTAATTATTAGGTATAATTGTGTATTTGTTAAAATTAATTATTAGCATTGATAGTATTAGTTTGCCATATGATAAATCCTGGTGAATTTGATACCTTTGACATCGATTGACTTGTGTCGTTTTTGCTCTTGTGTTGGTAAACTGAGGGTTTTAAGAATTGGTAAATATTCTCTGCCACGGACAGAGAATAGCCGTGGATTCTCTACAGTGGATTCTCGTAGTGGACCCGCATATATACAAATCCACTACGGGCTCACCATTGCCCGTGCTACTTGGAACTTCTGTTCCAAGTAGCTGATTCCAAAACGGCACAACTGTACTGCATATTTATCAGAACTATCGTGTTCTTATCATATAATGGAATGTGAAAAATCACGAAATTCAGAGATATCACCATCAATGAAGTCCAAGAAATGTGTAAGTACTTCATTCATAATGATGTACTGCCAGGAATCTTAGCGAAGTATCCAAAGTTTGCTTGCTGTAGGTGCAGCCTGCACATGACAGTAAAGCTGCCGCCTAGTTGGGTGGGTGTGGAGCAAGACTAGTAACTGTGTGACTCGCCATAGAGGTGAAATGCCTTGAATAGACTGTTGTGAGCCTCTTGTTGAATCACTTGATATAATTATCTGAAACGCTGTGCGTATTAGTGCCTTTAGGCATTGTATATACTAGCTCTGTCTAGAAATCCAACATTATGTTTGTAACTCATTTTGAATGTATGTACTTTTACCCGAACATGTTTCTTATAAAAAGATTATTTATATGTATATGTATTTATGTAAATGATTGTATATATATATATGTACATGCGTATGTAACATTAATAATTGTGTAACTTCAAATGATTGACACTTGCTTAGCTAAACGAACTATGAGGTTCAGTTGCTGAACCCATTATGTGCCTCTGTAACCCTTTTCACCACCGCCCACGGGACGGGTATGGGTTGCATAATAAAGAAAGAAAATAAGAAATTGAATTAACATATGAATTATTATTATAATAATAATTATTATTATTATTATCAATTTTGTGTACCTTCTGATTAACAACCGTATCATGTTCTCGTATATATTTTGTAAATAACATTATTATTATTATTGTTGTAAAGTTCAACTTGCTAGGCCAAAAGAAGTTGGCCTAGCAAGTTGAAATATATTGCAAATCGCTCTATATCTGGCCAAAGGATGGCGAGAAATAGTGACGCTGGTCAGTGAAATAAGAAGTCCACTACGGGCTCACCATAGCCCGTGCTGCTTGGAACTTTTGTTCCAGGTAGCAAATCTTAAACAACAACAACATCTGGTCAGTGTGCGAGGCGGGAGACCTTAGGACTTGAGCCAATGTTGGGCCTCCTCTTCCTGTATGACGCCACTGGCAAACGCCTTTCTGACGAAGTCTTGTATTGTCTTGTTCGCCACTCCACTTGCGCTCCGGGTGTCACCTGTGGGCATTACAGAGGTATGGTTAGTGGTTACAGTTATTATGGGTGGAAGTGAAGGTAGGTGTCTAAGAATCGTCACAAATCGTACAAGATAAACATAATATACGAGAGATTTGTTGAGCGCTTTTAAATATATGTAAGTACATCTTCAGAAGTCATAACAAAAATGCATCAGATTTGCAACCAAACACAATCCCATCGTTGTCGGAGCGTTTTTGTCTACATTTATAACAACGAGGAATTCCAAAAGCACTTAACACCTTCATGTCAAAGTAGCAACCCAGTGAAGGCTTAAAGTTCTAAATGGGCAGCAGATAGGTGCCTTTAGAATCCTTCCTTGTTAAGGGGTGTTGGTGGCTTAGTAGGCTAAGCTGCTGGCTACATGTTGTGCGGTCGATCATTTGAGGTTCCAATTCTCCAGGTGAATTAATGTTATTATCGAAGTACACTAAGGTCAATATACTGACCCTCCCCAGGATGCAACCCAACAACAGTTACCTATCTCCCGAGTACCTATTTACTGCTAAGTGAACAACCATTTATATCCCGCCAGGGAAACGAACACGGGTTCCCGAATTGAGAGTGGAGAACGAACCCAACTGTACTATGATGTACCTTGCATACATCAGATCTTTAGAGGATTATGCTGCACCTCTGCTTGCTTTGATGCCTGAAAGAAATCTTGGAGGGCTTAAAAATGGCAGAAGGAAGCCTTGAGGATAATCCTTGGGTGCCCTCGTATCGCAAAGATACTTAACATGAGAAAAAAACTTAATATTCAGAGTGTTGTTGATCGTGTTTCTGAAATTAACTGTCAAATTGGTTTAAACATGCTTAGGCTAGCTCATCCTAGCTCTTGCACTGAAGCCCTCCAGAATTTTTGTATTGAAAGTCAGCATTGTTCCAAATGGATAACTAAAACTAGAACTGAACTCAAAATGTATCAGATATATAATTTGTACCAAGAGAGACAACAATTGCACTTTCCTGCACCGCCAAAGAATCTGCCTTTAAAGGAGAAATTATGTATAACACTGGTTTGTCAATAAGCAGTCTGAGAGCAATGGTACACAAAGAACTTCGACAAAATCTTGTAGATCTAAGGCAAAGTAAAGTCGACACCAGTAATCCCATCTATCATCATACTATCATGCAAGAGGAGCCACACATCTATGGTTCATCCAATAAAATCAGGAGGCTCCTAGATGTTACTACTGCTCGGCATAGACTCGGTTACAAGTATCTCTGGGAATTCTCCTTCTCTGCTGATATAGACCGGACCAAATGTAAACTGTCAACAAAATTATTCGCACACCCTCAGTCACTATGTGATGGAGTGCGAAAAGATACGTGAATTCAGAGACAATTATATAACAAATGTGATGAGATGTGTAAATATTTCATTCAAAATGATCTGCTACCAGAAATCTTAGCTAAATATCCCCAGTTTGCTAACTGTAGGTAGTAACTGAGTGATTGTAATTTATCCACCACCGCTCACTGGATGGGGGGGCGGTGTGCAGGACAAACATATCAATTGACACTAGCTCTCCACATATGTCAGTTGCTTAATTTAGAATCTGTACTTGTGGTTGGTCTCGAGATAATTGATGATGTGACGATGTGTATTGAATTTTGTAACTAGCTCATCAAGATTATAACTTGCTTAACTAAATGAATTGTGGGGTTCAGTCCCTGAGCCCATTATGTGCCTCTGTATACCCCATACCGCCCACAAGATGGGTATGGGGTACATAATAAATGAACAAAACTAAAAACTATGAAGATAAACCGCCACTCGGGGTCACCACCGAAAGTCTCTAATCCTCGTATTTTGATAATTTTATAATAATTCAATTCAATTCAGTAAGTACAGCCCGTTACATATACAGCACTAGGCAAGGCGTTGGTGTATTAGAACAGTGACGGAACGGTGCCCAACCGCTTGGACCATCAGGGATCGACCGCCGACCCTGTAGGAAGTTAGGCTGTCATTGTTCCAACCACTACAAACAGAGTTACAAGGTTGATATCCCTAGAACTCATCAAATTCTTACGTAACCACTTACGAAGCCTCTGCATGTTTTCTTAATCATGGCGGCTTTGTTTACATTTATTAAACAGTTTATGAGCTTCGAAACTTCACAACCCAAGGTTATAATTGTTACAAATATCCTCGAAGCCCTTTGTTGCTTATAAATTGTTCATTAAATGTAAACATAGCCACCATGATTCAGAAAAGATGTACAGGTTTCGTAATTGGTTGTGCAAATAATTGATGAATCCTTGCATTAGGCCGCGTTATTTACGAGCTCTTAAGGTCCCGGTGCTCCTGTGTGAGAGCAGCTGTATGACGCTCCCACGGACTAAGTTCCAGCTTATGTCAATCATTTTTCCTGAGCCTAGTATAGTTGGCTTCGTTCTCGACTAACAATTGGGGATTCCAGGTTCGATTCCTGGAAGGGACAGAAACAACTGGATGGGCACGTTTCCTCTCACCTAATGTGTCTATGTTTACCCAATAAAACGAATTATCACTATTATGTATCTTCATATTGTGTATGCCTACAAGTGTAAATGTCTGGTGTTGGATGTTTTCGTAGACTTTCACTGACCTTCACCCTTGATGTGGGTCCAGCCCGGGCACGACATCGTGCCTTTGTGATACAGCTGAAACCTCTTGATGTACGGCTTCACCGTCAGCTTACAAATGCGGCCCAAAAGCTCCACCTCCTCATTCCTAAACAGCCTGAAAAACACAATTAATTAAACACAGTATATATATATACAACTACGTGAGTACAGTTAAGAATAACCTGTAGGAGGCAAATAAGTGGCTTTATTAAATATGCATTTAACAATTACTATTTTATTTTTGTTATAACAATTAAATCACAACAACGCGATGAATCTGTGGATCAATATTGAGGCCTTACCATGGAATCGAACCCCCCGTCCTTGAGCTACAATCTGCCTCACACTGTAGTCTAGTCCGTAGCGTGAATGCCTTGGAAACTCAGGTTCCCGGGTTCGATTCCACCGTATGGCGGAGGTGTTTATTCAAGGAAATATTAAAATATGGCTCAGACCCACGTTGTCATTTAATTCTTGCTTTCAGTCGTGCTTCTTTATAACAATAAATGGATCTAACTCGCAATCCTGAACTATCTTCATATTATTATTATATTTGATTAAACATGATTTAACCCAATTTTTTCATGAATAATTTATAAAAGTTTATCAACATTGTTCCAATCAATCAATTGGATTACACACAGAAATTACAATAGCGCGATGCATCAAATTAACAAATCCACAAGGGCGAAGAGGTAGAACGGCCTATTGACATAGCTCCAGTGCATGGGGAAATTGTGTAAAAACCTGGTTTGTGTTCGGAGAGGCTGCAGAATCCAAGTAAATTCAGTAGAATTTCTGGTTGGAATTCTTATACCATGTCATAGCTCAGTCGATTAAGGCAGCGTCTGGGATATGCTCTCAGACGCAGGTTCGAATCCTCGTCACGGCCCTTGTGGATTTGTTCATCAATTGGATGATCACATGTTTCTCAACGCATCAGACGTTGAGAAACTGGTTTCGGACGTTGAGAAACATTCATTTCCCGAATGCGGGAATTCGGAAGGGTTCGACCATTATACTTACATTATTTGACAATTAATTCAAATCTTTACTAGTTTCTCCACTGTACACTTTTAGGTATTGAAGTGTAGCTCCAATTTAATTCTTGCGTTAAATATAAACTAGCAGTCTCCGTGGTAACACACTCGCCCGCGCTTCTCGAGCGATTTGGTCTGAGTTCGTATCCTCGCCGGGGAGGATTGACTGGGTGCCAATCCTTAACTGTAGCCTCTGTTCACCCAGCAGTGAATGGGTACCTGGTTGTTAAACGATTTGGCGGGTCGTATTCCGGGAAAAATTAAGATTAAGGACCTGCCCGAAACGCTATGCGTGCTAGTGGCTTTACATAAATGTCAGAACTCTTGTGTATATACATGACTTTATAGATATGTAGAACATTTTTTGCCATTTTGAAGTGTTTAGAAAAATTTAGGCTCAAAGAACCAATGATCTTGACGTTGCTTTTGGTCTAGAAGAAAAATGTCATTTGACAAGCCGCCGGCTTCCTGACCCCGTCGAGGGAAGGAGAAAAAAAAAAAGGAGAGAGAAAGACACCAACAGACGTCCTCCGGCAAATTTGGACTAAGTAAAACCACTCAATTATGCGTTTGGAACTTACCCGACGAGCTTCTGAGCGACGGCGGCGGCCACAGCTTCCCACCCTTGGGCGTGTGTGCCAGGCACGAGGCAGCTTACTGCCAGTGCCACCAGCACTACGCTCACCACCACATGTATCCTCATCTTCAACCTCAGCTATATAGCACCTGCTCGAATGACAGAGAGAGAGAGAGAGAGAGAGAGAGAGAGAGAGAGAGAGAGAGAGAGAGAGAGAGAGAGAGAGAGAGAGAGAGAGAGAGAGAGAGAGAGAGAGAGAGTAAGAACAAGTTAAAAACAATAACAGAACAGGTTAAAATATATATATATATATATATATATATATATATATATATATATATATATATATATATATATATATATATATATATATCATGACTAAATAAATATTCGTTATTCTGTACAAACAGTAATTAAGTTTACGCAGCTTAATATTATAAAAACAGATTTCAAATATAACAATAAATAAAATATGAGAAATATAAAGAATATTTAGAAAAAAGTAAGGACAATATATTAGGCTACAAATAGCTCGAAAGGCGAGGCTTTGAACTGCATCTCGAACGTGCAAGGCTGAATAGGTGAGAAGGAAGGAATTATCAAGGGAAAGCGCCAAGCCATTACGACTATATAGCACTGGGAAGGGGTAAGGATAGGATTTGGGATGGGACAGGGGAAGGAATGGTGCCCAACTACTTATGGACGGTCGGGGATTGAGCGCCGACCTGCATGAAGCAAGACCGTCGCTCTACCGTCCAGCCCAAGTGGTTGGGTTGCACAGGTGAGAACAGCAAGAACTAACCTGGTGCTGTTGGCTTGCAGGGTCAGTCGTCGTCGTCGGATTCCAGGTGGCCGGTGTTCGTCGCCCTCTTTTATTGCTCCAGGCTCCGGCCGTATTTGCCAGATTATCAACCGAGAATGTTATTAATTCTAACCATAATTTAGGTCGTTCCTCCAGTAGCTGCCAATTACAAATTGATAATCCATACTTATCCAGAATGTGAACCGAAACAGCAATTATAATGAATATCTAATGGGTGTAGTTATCAAGAAATAATTAGTTATAAAATGTTAAATTAGTTAACGAGTGATGGAAATACCAAACGCCGTCGAGTTTGTGGGAGGTGAAGTTAGATGAGACTTCATGACGACAAGAGTGGCTGTATCCTCTTACGCAGTGACTGTATCCTCTTGCTCAGTGACTATCCTCTTGCTCAGTGACTATCCTCTTGCTCAGTGTCTATCTTCTTGCTCAGTGACTGTATCCTCTTGCTCAGTGACTATCCTCTTGCTCAGTGGCTGTATCCTCTTGCTCAGTGACTATCCTCTTGCTCAGTGACTGTATCCTCTTGCCCAGTGACTATCCTCTTGCTCAGTGACTGTATCCTCTTGCCCAGTGACTAACCTCTTGCTCAGTGACTGTACCCTCTTGCTCAGTGACTATCCTCTTGCTCAGTGACTGTATCCTCTTGCCCAGTGACTATCCTCTTGCTCAGTGACTGTATCCTCTTGCCCAGTGACTATCCTCTTGCTCAGTGACTGTATCCTCTTGCTCAGTGACTATCCTCTTGCTCAGTGACTGTATCCTCTTGCCCAGTGACTATCCTCTTGCTCAGTGACTGTATCCTCTTGCTCAGTGACTATCTTGATAATCGGTGGCTGTATAGTGCTTCTAATATTATTATTAACTCCTAGTGGTCATATTATATATATATATATATATATATATATATATATATATATATATATATATATATATATATATATATATATATATATATATATATATATATATATATATATATATATTACTTCTCAGTGGTCGTATCTTATACTTCAATAGTTGCATCTTACCCAGTGCTTGTATTCCATACTCTTGTCTTCGTATTCTACACTTCAGTGATCATGTTTTAGTACTCAGTGGTCGTATCTCACCCCTCAGTTGTCGTATCCTACTCAGTAGTTATATCTTACTCCTGTGGTCGTACCTTACTCTTCATTGGTCATATCTTACTCGTCAGTGGTCGTATTTACTCATCAGTGGTCGTATTTACTCATCAGTGGTCGTATTTACTCATCAGTGGTCGTATTTTACTCATTAGTTGTATCTTACTCCTCTATACTATGGTCGTATTTTACTCTTCGGTGGTGTATCTTACGCCTCAGTAGTCGTATCTTACTCTTCAATGATTGTACTTTACTTTTAGTGGTCCTATCTTATTCCTCAGTCATCATATCTTACTCATCAGCAAACAGAGGCAGGTGAAAGGAAACGTGCCAAACATCTGTCTCACTCGAGAGTCGAACCAGGGATGCCCGATGTGATTCGAGAGCGAAGTCAACCAGAAGTTATTATTATTACAGTGCTTCACAAAATATATTAATAATGGTACTAATACTGAAATATATCATAATCACAAGTTCCTGAACCCATTATGTGACTACCCTTTCCACCACCTCACACAGGATGTTCTTTTGAAGTACAAATTAAAGATTAAAAACAATCTAACAAATTTCTGCCTACCCTCTTCCTGTTTCTTTTCGGCTGACACAACAATGCTCACCTGAAAAACTAAAAATATGAAATAAAAGATAATAAATTTTGTCTGTCCAAAGTTGCAAGCCAGATACTTGGGCTAGCTTCATTAAGATTTGCAGGGTGACCAGTTGGTGTTTGGGGAAGGGGGGTTGGGGTCAACCCCACTGCCACTCTTCATGAAATCAGCAAAGATGAAATGTCCAACACAGAGTCTAGTTTTTAACCATTTAGATATCGACATGTAAAACTCGTATTCAGATGGCAGATTTGGATTCTGGGGATCTTCTTACATGACACAACCTTTTGAGATAGATCCAGGCACTCCCATTTAGTATATAACAGAGCCTAATAAAAATGTTGCCAGACAGTATTTATACTTTGTATTGACACCTGCATGAAGCCTGGCCTTTCCCAGTCTTCACTTGATATACTGCTGTCAACACTGGGAGTTTCCAATCTTGATAAGTTGGTTTATTCATGTCCTAAGAAAAATCATGAGAAATGTATACGGTACTGAAAAATTTAATCACAGATAGGATTAATAGGCTTTTCGAGATCACCCATAGGCCAACTCAGAATACAACCCACAACAGTTGCTTAACTCCTGGGTATCTATCTACCTATGCACTAAATATTAACAATTATCAAAAGAAAGCACGAAGCCCAGATGGCTATGTACAGTAGTACCATTTGTATCACATAATTCTAGAAATAATTTGTGGTGCATATAGGAGAGCAGAAAGATGTATGATGAGTGAAGTCAAAGGAATCGGAATCTCTTAATAATGCACTTTCATAAGTTTCCAGAAATACATTCCAACGTAGAATTATAACGATTTTAAGTGAATATGATGGCCAATACCCTCTTCCGGTGGGATCAGTTCCATGTGTGAAAGAAAGGCTGCAGTTGGCAAGGTTTAGTGTTCCTTGAGGATGTATAAAGAACGTGGTTGCCTTTACGACTTGCCGACTGGGACACAAGCATCAGTGTGACCTTGGGTGTGTGTTATCTGTTATTGTCTTGAGGCTCACCTGGCTGTCGGATGTCCTGTAATAGTTCAAGGTTACTATGAATCAGAACTTATAAGGCACTGGAGGTGCGCGTTGCTATGGTTGAGTAATGCTAACTCGTTTAGACAATAAAACAAATCTGAAATTATAAGATGACAGAGACTTGCATGCATGTCTGGGGGTGTGGAAGTTTTCTTGGTAAAAGAAAAATATTAAATATTTAACATAGAATGGATTTTACTAAACAGGATGACCATGTGTTACCTCCAGGAGTCTGGCTGGCAGGTGGGACGTCCCCACAAGCAATGTGAGAGAAGACCAAATAATTTCAAGATTCTGACAGTAACAATGTCCAGAAACAAAAACGAAGATTCAGAAATGAAGAGCATAAGGAAATGCTTGTCAACAGTCCTGTAGACCTAAGATGTAGACCTGACCAAATGTAAACTATGTCGGCAAAATTATTCACACAGCCTACGCCACTATGTAATGGAGTACGGAAAGATACGCGAGTTTAGAGACAATTCTATAACAAATGTTCAAGAAATGAGTACCTATTTAATTCAAAGTGATCTACTACCAGAAATTTTAGCCAAATATTTGGCAGTTTGCTAACTGCAGGTAGTAAATGTGGCTGTCTAATTTTCCCATTGGATGGTGGGGGAAAGGAGGGTGCATAATAGCCAAATCAGTTGTGAAACAAGTTCACTGCACAAGTACACCAACTTTAGCCTAAGTCTCTTAGCCTAAAGTGGTCGCTCACAAACCCATGGTTGGTATAATGTGCATAATGAACGAACTGAACTATAGCCAGGTGCTAATTTACTACCTAGTTTGCATGTAACTTCAGATATTATTTGCAGTTTCATGTAAGGCCTCAAAACAATATGCTATGGCTTGGGTTTTGAATCTTTAAAGAGATTTTTTAAAGATTCAATATATTCTTTGCTAACCTTGCAGCCAGTAAGTTTACTCCATCCAAGCCAGCAAGTCTCAGATGGTAAACCTGTCACTAAACCAGTTTCATTAACATTGTAGTTCTGAAACATTAAATTTATCATCAGAAATACAATACCCTTGTCATTTTCTTTTCAATATTTAATCAGATATTTCACCTACTAGTTTTGACTTTTCTACACACTGCAGCTTACCAGCATTACCCTTAAACTTCTCAACGCCAATGTTAAAGACTAGTCTCCCTGTTGCTGCCTTAATATGCTCAACACTGATAAGATGTGAAACACACCTCACTGCTGCATGTTCAATTTATAAGCTGCTGCTTGCTTAATATAACTTATCGTTGTATTTCTTTAACATTCTTCCTATGCCGCCAGCTTTCTCTGCATTAAACTCCAAAATCTGCATTTTTCGTTTCTTTATATTTAAAACAATACTGGTGCTAATACCAAATGCCTCTGCCTGCCTGCTTACTTTTTTCAACCAATTCTGCCTCTTCTTCCATATTTAAATAATTTTCTTAGGAGAGAAAAGTACCAGGGCAGGAACATGTCAAGTTACAGCACGGCTATGAGAACTAATTGTTTTTCCCACTGCATTTTTTTTTACGCTAATTGATAAAGGAGTAGATGACTTCTGACTCCTATTTTCAGGCTTAGAGATTTCCCGATCCATGAATATCAATTTAGTTAATAACAGGTCCCTAATTACTGCTGGATGAATAGTAAAAGATTTATACCCAGTCAATCCTTCCTAACCAGATCTCAAACCCAAACACAATCACTTGCATCACACGGAGCAAATGTACTACCACTGCACCACTCTTCTTCACTTCCCATAACGTCATACTGGACTTACCCAAAATCCATTTTCTGAGAAATTCATGGTACTATTTATTTAGCAAGCATCTTTCCATACTCTTTAAGAGTTATTTGGAATGTTTCCACCACTGTTGTATTCAATCTCTACATTTTGCATATTTTAGTCCATGTACATTCATTATAAACAGAGGGTATCTTAATTATAAATATGATTTATATTACAAAAGGCACTCCTAATCAAATTTACTTCCTTTTCCTTAACTTTTTTCACCATACAACGGCAAAATGGTCATGAACAAAGAACAGGCCTGCAATCAATCTTTATTGTATTAACAAGGCATTCCTATATATAACATTTTGACTAGAAAACATAGTAATATACTTGTGCACACACACACATTCCAAAACCAATAATTAAAATCACCTTTTGTGCACATACATTACATAATTATGCAATATAGAAGTCATAAAACATTTACAATTATTATCCATGATTTACAAATCTATTTTCCATTGTATTGCTGACACAATAAATATTTACATAATACAGTAGTATATAACATATATGATACCATATAATAAAAACAATTACCAATGTTGAAAACTTTGATATTTATAAAATAATGAGCTCATAATAGTGTATAACATACACCACATAATATACAAATTAACTATGTCAAAACGTTTAAATATTTATACAATAATATGAGCTGCTCTGTGTCTGATGCAAACAGCCTACACAAAAAATATATTATTGTACACTAAAATGTACAAGTAACCTACTAGTTAACTATTGCACTCGGCTTAACAAACCCAATTATGCTAATTTTCATAGCATTTCTATAACAAACTGTCATCCATTAACCCTCAAACTGCACACCTATTTGCAGGTACTGTACTACAATCAAGGTGCACATGGGAAAAAAAAGTATTGGAAACCCATATGGACCAATCACATACGTAGTGCATATGCAGCCCGTCCTCTCGAGTCGTCACAAGGTCACAAAAACGATGTACTGTACTAAATTGCCTGAACCTTATCTTACCAAACCTATCCGATGGACCCACGAATAAAAAAATTTAACAGCCTGTTAATTTAGCGAGCTGCTATGATTTATAGTACATCATATGTTGACGTTGAGGATTTTTACATCAAAATGTGATGTACTATTTGAGAGAACAGGTTAGAATATGAATCTTAAACACACAATTTAAATACATGAATGATGTGCCTCCACTAAAGCAAACAAATACTGTATTACATGAAGAGATGTTTGAACACAAGGATGAGTGGGCTCCATATATATGGCTTAAGATGTCTGTCAAGGAACTAGACATTCGAAAATGATTTTAATAGATTATTCACAGAATGAAATATATCACTTAATATTTGATAACCAATTAATATATGCATTTAACTAGAAAGGATAACATTCTCATAAATTAAAATAAACTCTGCAAATCCAGTAATATTTTAAGTATCGAAAAGAAAGTTAGAAAGAAAAAGTTAAAAGAAACTTAGCCAGGCTGGCTGTAGAGCACTGTGGAACAGAATATTCAAGAGTTCCCATATATCATATAGGATAGCAATACAAAACCCAAAAATTGATACAATGATCAGTATCATAGGAGGCAGTTTCATCAAAAACTTTAACCGAGAGGGAGTAACACTGTATGAAAATCTACCAAAGAAAAACATGTACAAATAATGGCCATGGGTCAAAGGCCGGGCCGCGGGGATGCTAAGCCCCGAAATCATCGCAAGGTATGGGTAGAGCTGATCAAGTTTACCTCTGGCTGCTAATAATAATTATAACAAAGGCACTGCACTCTAATTTTTTTGGTGCTAACATACATGTTAACTATACTTGTTTCATGCCATTAGCATTTATGTAGAAGCAAGATTATAATTTATGTACATCATTTTATTACTTCATGTACCCAATACTTTCTTTAGGTATACAGAAAAAAAATGTGAAAGCTTTGTATAACATGTACGAAACTTCTAGGTACAGCTGAACAAATTAGCTGATGATCAGTGAGACAAGATATGCACTACCTGGGAGAAAAAGAAAAGAAGCTAAAAAAATGTTTGCACAGCCCTAGTGTAAGTAATGAAGAACAATGATTTACCTACTAGAAACCAGTGTAAAGGCTAAACAACAACCATTGTACTCTTGAAATAATTCCAGGTCATACTTTAGATAAACACACATGGATTTCACTGTCAACTGAAAGATGATGATTTATATCTTTATTGTGTTCAATTTTTTCATTTAACAAGAGTAATGTCTCAAAAATACATTTGCATAAGATTAGAATTAGCCTACTTATCACTATCTCTTGTGGAATCTCTCGTTACCTTGAGGTTCCGTGGAACCCTGGTTGAGAAACACTGATTTACACATTAGAAGGCATAGTGCAAGGGCTAACAACCAATGGTTTATGCACTAAGAAGAATATTCCATATGCTGAAAAAGTGTAATTTACACACTAGAAGAAATAGGATGTGTGGGAAGTAACAGAAAGAGTGCACATGAAAATATAAATTAATTATGGAAAACAAAAGAGCAATAAAATATATATAAAGGTATTCAGTAACAAATGGAATAACTTGAAGACAGCTAAATGATATTGGAATCAATTAAAAATGATGCACTATAGGAGACAAACACTGTACTGTACAAGTAATGAGAGAAGCTCCCTCACATTGTCTGTCTGAATATACAATAGCAATCTGTTTGCAACTTTATTAAAAAAAAATAGAAGTATTTAGGTATCAAAATGGTTCTAATATGCCCCTTGTATAGAAATGCTAGCTTCTTCTCTATCACTAGCACCTTTTTTAATATATAACTACAGTATTTTGAAATGTGCATTTGGATTTATTTACTGTTTGCATATAAATATTTTCTTGAGTCAGACATGTAACCATTATTACAAAACAATTATTTTTGTACTATAAACAACATGCAAAGTAGCATAGTCTTGCTATCGGCTTAACATGGCAGTGATCACCTCGGTATGCTTCACATATTGCAACATTACTTCCGTGTTTTAGTGGCTAAAATGTTTCATATAGATGAATAATCATCTACACCCCCTAACTCTTGGAGGGCATCATGTGCTACAGAGAACCCTGCACTCTATAAGAAACACTGAACACGCCATGTAGCCCATCCTCCAAACAAAGACCCAAAGTCCATTCCATGTACCCGCCAAACCCCGTTTATATATGACAAGAAGTTTACACACGACTCACAACTGATGACATCCGAAAACTTCTGGAAAAAAGTGCTTCGCTGGCGACTTTTGTTTTGAACCACAATGCTGTAAATCCTTCACCCACATACTATAAATACAAATAATAGCCAACAGAACCCAAACACCTAACCAGTGCCTACATATGTACAATATGCTAATATATAATAATAATATTAATTTAAACTTGAGAAAAGTTCTGTTTTGAATGAACAGAATGTTAAAATTGATGAATGTGCCTTTGGGGTCAACCGCTTGATAGAATGGACTTGGTCTGAGGACGGGTTGCACCATGGGGGTAAACAAATGTATGGAAGATATAGGATACTAGAGGGGGTACCAGGCAGTGCCTGGGCCTCTTCTCTCCTCCCTCCTCTACAAATCTTCCCCCTTCCCCTCTTTCTCTCAATTACCTCATCTCCCTTTATCCCCCCCCCTTTTTTTTAAACAGGTGGGTACAGGAACAGATGACTTCTTATTCCTGTTAGCAGGTCGAGAGCTTTCCCTTCCCATAGCTCATGGTAAGCTTTACCATACTAGTTTTACGTTTTACACAGGTGGGTACAGGAGCAGGTGACTTTTGACTCCTGTTAGCAGGCTGACAGTTTTCCCTTTCCAAAGCTCATGGTATGCCTTACTATACTAATTTTTCTTGAACACAACCTGCCAATCAATTAATAACCAGGTACTTAATTAAGTACTGGTGCCCATTCAATTGTGCCTGGCCTGGACTCAAGCAGATCAAATGGCTCGTGAAGCAATGGGTGGGTTTTATTACTGTACGACTTGGACACCGAAATACAGTATAATTTATATAGATGTGCTAGGGTAAATAGGTCACATGAAAGAGTAGGTTTGTATATTAGAGAGGACCTTCTATGCTCAGCTTCTTAACTAAACAAATGAGATGGTTAAGGTACTGTGAGTAAAAATAGAGAAAATACACTTAGTTATTATTCATATACAAACCTCCAGATGTAAAGGTTGAGGAATTTACAGAACAGATTAATAAAATGGAGAATAATCTCAATAATCTGGCAAATCAAATACCAGATATTCACTTCCTAGATTTCAATCTGCCCAGTCTTATATGGAGAATAGCAAACAATAATAATATACCAGGAAATCTGTCTGGAAATAACCAATCATTACCAGCTGAGGATGTTTCTCCAGTGGAGGAGGATGAGGCAGTAGTGAATGTCCCTTCCACAACTATTAAGAAGTAATGTCAGATGTGGGAAGAGATGCAAACTTCTATTGAAAAGACTCACCCAGAGAAAGCTGTAGTAGGCCATTGGATTAATCTTTTCAATGACAATGTGATGCCTCACTACAGAGACATCTTGTGAGGAAGGGAAAAACAATCTTCCATGGACAGATGTGAGAACATCGAGCAGTGAGCCACAACCAGGACCTAGTGGTATGCAGGCAAAATGTGGCAGAGAATGCACCCCTGAGAGGTCTTCACTGCCTGAGGTTATAATGGAAGGGAACTCCCCTTCCAAACAGTAACACCTCTTCTTCTTCCCCCTCCTCACCATCTTCCATACGCCAAGAGCAGTCATCAGCAATGGTAAGTAATAATTTGAATATAGTTTTGTAGTGTAGATTTTGATGAATTAGGTATAAAATTTAGTTTGAAGTGAGGTTTTTGGGTAGTCAGGAAAGGATTAATTCATTTCCCATTATTTCTTATGGGGAAATTAGCTTTGGGTTACGAGTTTTGGGTTATGAACTGTCTCCAGGAATGGATTAAACTCTTAAACTGAGGTACCCCTGTACTTGGGTACGGTAAAATTGAAGGCCTTAAACAAAATACAAGTTACCAAACATAATCAAATCTGCCTATAATAGGAAAGCAACAAGTAAAGAATCTGGTAGTAATGATGTCTGACCACCTAACATTAAAGTAGCATAACCAAGCAAATATAGCATCAGCTAGAAAAATGATAGGATGGAATAAGAGAACCTTCAAATCTCTGCAAGACACAGCGAGGTAAATGACATTACTGTATTAAGAGGAGCTTTACCAAAGCTGGTTGTCCAGCAGAGAGAGAACCTCTTTACTTAATGCCCTGCAACTCTGATGAGCCTGTTGGTCACCCAGATGGGATCACAGTGAACCCCTGGAAGAATGGTAGACAGTTGGTGTGGGCTACACGTGCATTTCAATTTTAGCCAAGACCTATGTTGACTTCAGTGTTGCCCATTCGGGCAGCACTGCAACTCACTGGGAAGCAGCCAAGTCTTGTAAATACAGAGAACTTGATCACCATTACAATTTTGTTCCCATTGTCTCAGAGACACTTGGTGCCTGGGGTAAAATTGCTGCAAGTTTTTTGAAGGAGCTGGGTTCTAAGGTAATTGAAACAACAAGAGACCCCTAGAGTCCCCAGTTTCCTCTTTCAGTGCCTTAGTGTGGCGATACAGAGAGGAAATACACACTGCATCCATGGTTCCTGCCCTCCATCTGAGGAGCAGGAAGAATTAGAAAACCTGTGACAACTAGCCTTATACCTTGCATGTAACCAATGTTGTAACCCCTTTAGTGTAATAAAGTTTCATATAAAATATAATTACAAAATACACAATATATGGTAGGTAGGAGACGACAATGTGTGAGTGTAAGTGAGTGGACAATTGGACAAGGCTCCTCCGGATGTTACCTATCGTCTTCTTTGAGGTCGAGGGTCCCTACAAATGCAACCAGAGGTGGTACTCCCCTATATCTATCTATTTATCTATATAACAGTCCATCCTCCTGTTTAGGTAGTACTTATAGTAACAATGAGGACCATAGTATATATACTGACGTACAACGAAATTAGAAAGAACAAAATGAAAACTATTGAGTTTGACAAACTGGAAGCCTATTTTTTTACTTGCGTTGCTTTAACAAACTAAACTAACCAAACCTTCCTAGGCCTAATATACGATATTTGAAGCCTAATATAATATGTGTGCGCTATATTAGGCCTAAGAATATTTAAGTTTGTTTTTTAGCTTCATTTATTTTAAAGGAATTCCCTACTAGTCAGTATACTAGTATCTAAAAGTTAAGTACGTACGAATTCGTGACTATTAATGACGTATGAGTGTTCCCTTGTTGTATATTTTATTATACAAGATTACACATTAACGTATCTAATTGGTTATAAAAGGTGAATATTAAGAGAAAATAAAAGTTACGTATATATATATATACTGTATATCACAGGGAATCCACAAGGTCTTCTCTGAATTCTCTTTATTTTCTTCTTTGAGGCTATGGGTCCCTACAATTGCATTGCACTAGTGGTGGTGTGTGTGTGTGTGTGTGGTACAAGGAGGATGTTATAAGTTTTCATCCTCCACACAAACACACACACAGTACTCTACTGTATATAAAGATGGTAATGTGATACTTTTGGGTTTTCCATGACTTTCAAAAGACTAGCTCCTTGTTTCACGAGTGTCTTTGAGCATTCAAAGCAATGAATATCTGGTTCCAAAACAACAAATAATAACAATAACAAAAATAAGTAAATAAAACAAACAAAACACTACACAAACTTAAATAACTTAAGGAGATTGTCAATACAAATATCTTAACAAAAGAGATAAAATGATTGAACATAAAATCTTTTCTATAATTTAAATATAGTATGATATAATAAAACATAAGGAATGTATATTAAAAATACATGCGTGTCCTTTGTTTAAATAATTCAACAAGAAAATGCGCGACAAACCACAGCACTTCGTATTTATTTACGATGGCTCAGAATAAAAAAAAAATGTGATGCTGAGCAATGAAACTTGCATCCCTGAGACTACAAACATGCTAAAGAAAATGCATCGCATACTTGATCATAGATTATATCCCTTCATCTTCCCCCCCTCCCCCCATGTATCACTAATGAAATCTCTTCCTTCATCAGTGTTCAAGGCCTTTACATTTACTAGTCTACAAAGTCCTGATTGAGTACCTATGAACATCCAGGTGCAAGCACCAATATTATTATTCCAAGCAACAGAAGTGACTGCCATCATAGGATAGCAAGCAATTGGACCTGGTTCCATGGTATCTGATCGCTTCCGCTTTGCCATTTCACCATCAGGGATTTGAGAAATATTTTCAGTCTCTTGATCAACAAACACAAGACCATAACTTTTCAATGTTTCATGATACGTTCTTGGCCATTCTGTGTAAGATGCTGGACAAAGACCATCCTCTTCTACCGAGTCTTTCTCATCTTGCCCTACCTTAAGCTTTTTGGTTTTCTTAGAGGCTTTGGCCTCCAAATTTTCAGGGGTGACCAACTGTTTTGAATCATGACTATAACGAAAAGAGATTGGGGAAGCTTGCGAAATATTTTGTATATGCACAGACAAAACAGGAAACTTTCGCTTTGATGGAAATTTATCATTTTCATAGTTTTTAAAAAGCTGCTGTTGAACTGTGATCATAACTTCACCAGCAGAATCTCCCTGAGCTACTGCATTTAGCCAATCAGAGCCAGTTAGAGACCACACTGGTGCATTGGTCGAAAGAACATTACGAGACTGAATACCAAAGAAACCATTTTCACGAAAACAAGTGTTTGTGTTTGCAAGACCATAAACATCATCAAATGAAACAAAGCAACCAGCCCAATGAGGTAGCCACACTGCATCTAATACCAGTCCTTTACGTGTAACACTGAGAGGCATTTCAGTGTCCTCTAAATCCCAGAACTTGTATGTTCGGTCATTACCGCCACTTAACAGATTTCGGCCATCTGTAGTGGGACAAAATGCAACTACAGAGCAGACACCATTGTGTGCCAGAAAAGAATTCACAGGATAAAACGTAAAATTATTTTGAATATCTATTACTTTCACCAAAGGAGATGAACAACTCACATCCCAAATGCACACAACACCAGTTGAAAGAGCTCCAGCAATGAAAGCGTGTCCTTTCCCACGACACCAATCAACTTTAAGACACTGGGCTCCATCTCTATACAGTTTGCCTGGGCTTAACGTTGCTTTTGGTAATGCCTTGTATATCCTTGACTTTGACATGTCAGTGTTGCTAAAATGTGGAATTGCAAATATACGTACAGTTCCATCAGAACAAGCTGCAGCCAAGAGACCTAATCTTGATACGGTATCTTTATCTACAGATGCATCATCACTTAATTCAAAAGAACCCGATGGACACCATATGAGTGACCACACATTTCCAAAGTCATGTGCAATACCAAACAAAAACTTGGCAGTTTGCTCTCCATTTTCTTTGGGACACGAGAATTCCCAAATCTGTATCAGTCCTTCATGAACAGCTGATTTTATAATGTGATATGTATTTTCTGGTGAGGGGAGTGAGGACACAGCCAAGTACTGCGTATCCGAAGCGAGAGAGACTAATGAAGGCTGCGGGCACCATGCAGATGCTACAACAGGTCCACCACAAAATATGGCATACCCCTTTCCCTGTTTGCTTCCCTCGAACTGATTTAATTCTTGCCAGTCTTGTACAGAATTATCTGTATTGTCAGTCACCGTGTGAATCTTAAATTTCGGGCTACAATGAATTGATGGTAAATATTTTGCAGCTACCTGCTCATGGAGTATGGTCCAATTCCCCCTTAATACAGAAAACTCAGAAAAGAGCTTTTCTGAAACAGTTGCATTCAAAAATTCCAATGTCCAATGTAGTGAAAGTAGAAATGGCTTTAGTTGTCCTACTGTTACTTTCGAGCCATTTCTGTGTACCCTTCGTGGGCTATCATATTCATCATCCGATGTTTCAACATCACTTCCTTCAAATGATCTTGAAAATTCATCAGCATGATCTGAAGTTATATGGTTTATAATATCGCATTCCAATACTGAAACAAAGCTGCAAATTTTACAACTGAATGTTTTACTAGAACTCAAGAAAGGACAATTCTGGAAGTGTTTGTGTCCCATATAAATTGTTTTGAATGTAAAGGTGCATCCTTCATTAGGACAAGTTGCTTTTCCTTCACGAGCAAGGTCAGCTTTCCATCTTTTATTGCAGTCCTCAGGAATAGTTCCATTTAGCTTTAAATAAAACTGTGAAAGGTTGAGCTCTTTTTGATAATCATATTCAGTATCCGACACACAACTTCCACCCTCACCAGGTTTGTTGGAATGCCAGACTTGCAACCTAACATTGCAATTTGAAGCTGCTTTGCGTCTTGGTCTTAACCCTGGAGCTGTAGAACTTGTAGTCTTTTTGGGCTCTTTTATTTTATCAGTGTGTTTATTTTTCACGTGCAAGTCCAAACTGTAATATCGAAATTTCTTATTACATATTTTACAAGGAATATTGAGATCCTCTTGGCTTACCCCACAATGTAATATGTGTTTCATGTAACCTACAGGAGATCGATATTCATTTAAGCACTTTGTACACTTAAGAGTTTTACCTTCTTTTATTGTAGTGAAATATATATTTTTAGCTTCATCTTCAGTAAAATCCTGACTCTCTCCATCAGGCCTTGCTAACCCATTGTGATTGCTCTGAGCATGTGAGCGGAATTTCTGCAGAGAATTACAGAGAAAACCACATTTACCACATTTTACCTCGCCATCCATTTTAAGTGATGAATTAGAACATTTTTTCTCCTTATTCTGTTTTAGAGATTTAAAAAAGAAATTCTTTTTTCTGCCACGTCTTTTTTTACAAGCGGTGGGCAATGCACCTTTATCTTCTATTCCCTCTGTTTCCCGAGACTCGCCCAGAATCAATGACTTGAAAACATTAGCATTATTATGTTCCAATGTCATTTGCATAGAAACATCTGCAGTATCAGGTTCACATGTGGAAATGTCTGAGAAATTATTAAATGTAGCATCCTTGCTACCCAATACACTCATGTCGGTCTGAAGTCTGTCATCCGGCTGACATGCTGTTTTAGATTCTTCCTCTCCAGTATCAATGAAATCCAATGACCCCTTTTTCTTTGCATTACCAGCCTTTATTAAAGTGTCTCTGGATCTTGCAACCCTTACAGATGTTTGTGGTGAAAATCTGTGTCCAACACTGGTTTTAGCGCGTGGCGATGTGGCATCAGTCACGACACCAGTCCACCATTCTTTAAGTTTCAGTTTTCGGCCACCACGTGAAACAGGTTCAACTTTTTCTAGCATGTCCACTGATTCATCAGTATTACTATTTTTAATAGATTGATTCCTGTTTTTCTCCTCAAGATTCTGAAAAGGTTCTTCTGAATTTTCCAAACTTTCATTACTAACACCTTCTGGAGACAACAGGAAATCAGCAGCATCTATGGAGACTGGTAATATTTTATTATTGTCTTGATCATTCAAAGGATTTTCTTGAAAAGAAGTTATCTGGGGAACCCTTTCAGCCATTTCATATGCAACACTCACATTTACATTATCACTTTCACATGGGTTACTTTCTCTCTCATTACAGTTTATTCCCGAGAGAGCAGCTGTGTCATGGAGAATTGAAGTATGAACAGATGTGTCATCAACTTCTGATTTTCTTCTTCCCCTTCCCCTTCCTCTGCCTCTTCCTCTGCCTCTTGCTCTTCCTCTAGGTCTCCCTCTAGGTCTCCCTCTAGGTCTCCCTCTAGGTCTTGAGGTAATTTTAGGTACCTCAAACTCTTGCGAGTCTGACAGTAAATAAACAATGTTACTATCTCCATGGTCAACTCCAGAAAATGTTCCACTTGTAACATCCTCCTCGTATCTGTTGCTACTATGTTCAACTGGTAGCTCTGAGACCACCTCAAAATTATGAATAATTTCCTCTGAATCAAAGTTATGTTCATCATGCCCCAATTTGATTCTTTCTGTTATAATCGAATTTAATGGGTGTATGTTTTCAGACCTATCAAACAGTACTGACTTCATTCCTTGTGTCTCCAATTCTGAAGTTATATTTGGATTTGCATCATCAAGGACCACACCAGAACCAGTTGTATTCACTTCCTCGTTAGTTACAGACTGGATTTCTGTTATTTTAATGTCATTATCCTCCAAATTATTATCTTCTGAATCAATTTGATATCCTGATTTGTCAATTAAACTGGTATCATTAGGACAGCCTACATCTGGGCATTTAAACACAGATGAATTACTTATATCTGTATTCACCCCTGTTTTATTTTTTGTCACATCTATTTCTTGTGCTTCAATAACATTGATTTCTTGTTTTATTATCTTATTTCTTGTGCTTGGGCCACATGACTTCTTCTCTACCACCACAGATTTACTTTTTGTAGCAGATGCCTTCCTTGCAGGTACTTGTGCCATCTGAGCAAGCTCATGTAAACTGCAAACCTTGGCTACACCGTCCGGGATACTATTGACAGTGACACTGCTAGAGTGTGATCCCATGGTAATTTCATTAGCTGCTGTTTCATCCATTACATTAATGTCTGAAACAATTCCCAAGACTGGTTCTTTCTTTGCATTCATGTCAATATGATCTATTTCATTAGTGACCTCACTCATCTGAGAGTTTTTTCGGGCAGTTCTACTTTCATTCAGAGGCTTATCGACTATATGCTTTGTTTCGAGTATTTCATCTTGATCTATTTCTCCACTTATTATTTCAGTAGCAATATCCATTCTTCCTTCAAAGTTTTCCTTCTTGGTTCCAAGACCAATAATGTTTGTTAACATGTTGGTAGATTCTCCCTGCAGTTCCTCTGAATCGCTAGAGCTTTCCTCCAACATTGTTGAATCATACATCTCTTCCATATCTTCAGAAGGATTTTCTTCCTGGTGAAAAGAATAATCATTTACAGAAAATGAATCTTCAATATTAGCAGGTGTTTCCACTGTAGTTTTAGATTCTTCAAAGAATGAACCATTGATGTTGTCCAAAGCAAAGATTGTGCCAGGAGCATGATGAATGCTATCTAGACAATTGTTTTTAGTCTTTAACAACTCACCTGCTTCACCGTGTAAAATTTCTTCCTGTTGTTCTTCAATTTTTGCTGGATGAGTAATAGTTTTAGATAATGTATTCTCATTGTTAGAGATCTTCTCCTTATTGTCTAGAGAATCAGATGTACATTTTTTGTCAGCATCCTCTATAAAATCTTCAGTTTGTATTTGCACACTGACGTGCTTAACATTGGGTGAATAGGATGTCAAATGACCAGTTGAATTCGTAGACGAATTCATAGCAGCTGAAGACCTGGAAGACTGGTTGAGACTAGTAGTAAGAATGGATTGCAAGAAAACTGGATTATTACTGGTGAATGTCCCAGTTGATGGGTCAAATTCACCCAAAATCTGTGGAGCAACAAGGTCTGGCATGGCTACACTGACATCACTTGAGTTGAAATTTGCAGTACACGTTGTTGTTTGCATAGCATCTTGAGGTCCATGCTGAGGTAAATGCATCACTTGCTGTAGTGATTCAGAAGCCTGACAACTTGTCTTAGAGTCTTCATATGGAAGCTCCATTACCTGTTGATGTACATGTGCAACTGGCAAATGCTGTGCATTAATTGGTGGTTCTTGTGATACAGTGTGTTGTATCTCTGATGACTGCTTAACTGCCTGTAACTGTTGGGGTTTCGGTATAGCTTCACAGCTTGTAGGGAGCTTATGACAACATACTGATGTCATGCTAGGCACTGATAAATCTTGAAGGTTTGATGATGGTGTCTTACTAGCCACTAAAACATTCTCCTCAGTACTTATTGCACCCAGTTGTTTATGTTCACGAGTTTCTACTGAAGATGATGTTAACATCTGAATAGACACAGGAGACTTCTGAGGAGTTTCAGTCAATGCAGAATGTGAAAAATGAGATGGCTCAAGAGATAACGTGGCTTTACCAATGGGTACAGGTGAAGATACACAAAGAGGAGATGGCAAGGATGCCTGATAACATGTAGTAGTTTGGAGCAATGCCTGTACGTTGCCAGAGGGAGATGGCAATGAATAACATGTGGATGATGCCTGGTTGTTAGTGCAAACTTCTACTGTGTCAAGATATGACGACACTGTATAAGATGCTGGTAATGTGCGTTGACATGTTAATGATTCAGGGTAAGGTGTAAATGATGACTGGTATGGTATGACTGCTGAAGTATGGACTGCAAGGGGTGAAAGGCAGGTTGCTGATGAGGCAGCTTGCAATGTTGATGCTGAAGTAGTTGAAGATGTTGAATGAGAAGTCACTGATGTTAGTTCTTGTATTGGTGATTGCATATACAATATTGATGGATGTGAAGTTAGGTATTCAGAAACTGTTGGTGATGCTTCGTGTGCTATTGGTGATGATTCGTGAGCTATTGATGATGATTCGTGAGCTATTGATGATGATTCGTGAGCTATTGATGATGACTCGTGAGCTATTGATGATGACCTGTGAGCTATTGATGATGATTCGTGAGCTATTGATGATGATTCGTGAGCTATTGATGATGCTTCCCGTGCTATTGGTGATGATTCGTGAGCTACTGGCAATGCTTCGTGTGTTAATGGCGATGGTGGATGTGATGTTGCTGATACTGTGGGCGGTGATGACAATGTCGAAGGCAGTGTTGGTGATGCTGAGAGCAGTTTTGACAATGACGAGGGCAGTGCTGATGATGCTGACACTAACACTGGTGGTGTCTGTGCTGCCAAATATGGTAGTGGTGATGCAGAGTTATGTAATGATGATGTAGAGTGGGGCTGCGATGATGTCGAGTGTAGTGGTGGTGATGCCATGTGCGGTATAGGTGACGTTGAGTGTGATGGCAATGATACAGATTGTGGTGGCGGCGATGCTGAGTGCAACGGCAGCGATGCCAGGGGCAGTGGTGATGTCGATTGCAGTGGCGGCGATGTTGAATGCTGTGGTGGTGATGCTGGGTGAGGTGGCACTGCTGAGTGCGCTGGAGGCAATGCTGATATCAGTGGTGGTGATGCTGAGTGTGGTGGTGGTGATACCAACTGCAGTGGATGCAATCCAGAGTGAGATGATGGTGATGCTGACTGAAGTCGATGCAATTCTGAGTGCGGTGGTGGTGATGCCGGTTGCGGTAGATGCAATGCAGTGGATGGTGCTGACAATGCTGAATGCGGTCTTGGTGATGCAGAGTGGCATAATGGTGATGGTGGGCATGTTGTTGGTAAACCTGAATGTTTTGAAGATAATGGACATACCATTAGGCATTCTGAATATATTGTTGATTGTGGTGTTAGTGAGTCAGAGCAAGTTGCTAATGTGTATGTGTTTGTTACTTGTGAGTTAGTGTAAGATTCTATAGATTCTGTTTTTATTTTTGGCAAGTCTTTGTGCAATACTAGCAATCCTTGGTGTGTTATAGATGATCTTGGGGGTAATACCTGTGATGCTGGTTGAAGTAAAAGGTTCTCTTTGTGATGTACAAATTTTTCTGGGCAAGGAGCTAAATTTTGGGGGCATAAATTATGAAGTGAAAAGTGAGGTGGTTGTGATTCATCATTAGTCAAAGCTGAATTTTTTCCCACTGATGTCAAATCCAGTTTATCTACAAGAGAGGAATGTAATGAACTCCTTTCCATTGTTTCAAAAGACTGGTCTATAACGGAGTTGGATCCACACGGCTTGGAAAGGAATATTTCTTTTGGGGACTCTTTACCGACTTGCTCATTGACACCAGTGGTTCTGCTGTCTATAGTAGGAGAAAAGTGAAATGATGTTTTTGATGAAATTCCTAAATTAACATTCCATTTCTTGGCATTTTTAGTGCTCGACTTGTTATTCTGTGATTCAGAAGATAAAAGTGAGGAGCACGATAGCTGGGAATTATCGTTTGAGTTGGAGTATGCTTCAGCCTGAGATCCATCACAGTTCCTAATGGTTACACTTGATAGAGCAGGGTCGGTAATGTGATGGTTACTTTCATCATGGCCTGGAATAGATATGCCTTGAAGAGTTGTTACGGACAAATTATACCCTTTATTTGAGCGTTGATTTGACTGAAAAGATTGTGGACTTTGAGAAAATACTTGCATGGATGATAATGCTGGCAGCTTTCCTGCTGAGCTTGCATTACTTAATGTTAAACTAGGCTGGACAGTGTAAGATGAAGCAGATTTTATATTTATATGATTCGGCAATTTTGTAGATTCAGATAAAGCGTTATTCTGCATTAAAGTTGGTAAAGATTTGTGGTGTGACTCTACCATAACTGTCACTGACACTGGAAGAGTGATCTTGCTTACTGAAGACTGTGCAGGATGTGATCTTGGCACAACAAAAGTGTCTGACCTTCCAAAAAGTCTTGAAGACTGTAGACTTGGCATTGCATTATAAGGCCTTGCTGGCCTGTCATCAGGTGTTAATGGTGTAATTGTAACTGTGGCACCCCCATTAATTACTGTTTCACCATTATTTTCTGGAGTGGTCAAGACTGATAATGTAGCAAAGGATGTTTGGCTTATAGGAGCCACATTTTGAGAACAAGGAGGCATGTGAGCTTCTGTTTGTAAATATGACAAGGCTACAGATTCCGAGGCTTCCGTTACACTGCGGCATCTATTTGCACGAGAATAGGTTTTAACAACTTTTGAAGGTTCTATGCTAGGTATGGCTTCACTTAATTCCCATGGATTTACATTCCTTTTCTTCCTATTAACAGATTTACTATCAGAAATAAATTTGGCTGAAGGTGACATTAAATCAAAAGTATTATGATGTCTGTTAACTGATGTTTCACTTATTTTCTGCAGAGATGATATTTTTGAAATGGATGAAGACACAAGTGAATGGCTTTCGACCAATCTTTGTTGTTGGTTACTGGAGGCGATAATTTTTGAGCCCCGTGGTTCCGCAACAGAAGACCCGTGAGAAAATATTCCCATCTTTACCGACATTTCACTATGTGAAGTACTGGGATTTATAATTGTATTGTGATCAGTAGACATTAAGTTGGTGGTATCACCAAATTCCAATGAGCTACCTATATGCTTAGTAATATCAATATGCATGCCACTTTTGTTCTCTGGATTGTTCAGTGCAGAATCAGTCTGATAAGATCCTGATGAAGATGCTCTTCTGCTTGAAGGATGCAAAAAAGCTGGACGAGCATTTACAAAAGTTTTGTCATCTTTAAACTTTTTTGAATCTCCAAGCTTCCGAGACTCTTCAATAAGTCTTGATGCCTGTTCGATTTTCTTTTGAGCAGCTGCTTCCCGTTGTTTTAATGCCTCTTCTTTCTCCTTCAATGCCATTTCTTGCTCATGTAATGCACGCCATGTGCGCTCTTGAGCCTCTTCCTCTTGCCGTTTCACTGCAGCTTCTGCTCTTTGAAGCTGCTGTGCTCTCTCTGCTAACTGCCGCTTTTTTATACGAACAGGTGAAGTAAAGAACCCATCTTCCTCCTCTTCCTCCCATGCACTGCCAGTTACAGTTGGCATTATACTATCATGGTCAAATTGTGACTTCTCTGGCAAGCTAAATCGTTCAAATACAGACGTACTTTCATTCTTAGACAGGCCAAGAAAAGAAGGCATTTGAGATTTCTGCAATGGTCTTCCCCCTTGGGCAAAAATCTCTGCTTTGATGTGTGACCTAGGACAGGACCGCATTCGCGAGGAACGTTGGGATCTTGAGTCACGATTCAGAAGCTGCCTTCCATCTTCCTCACTCTCATCACTAGTATAACCTGTAGTACATGAAACTTTAGAACCGCTTTTTCTACTTTTATGAGACTCTTGCAAATTTCCATGGTGTTCCACATACTTGCGTTTCATACCTGATGTACTAGGACAAATTGGTGAACAATCATCGCTTTGCATAAATGATGTTCTATTAGGCTGTACAGGAGGCCTACAACATGGATTATTGGAAGTTATTTTTTCTCCAATATCCTCTTTTCCATGGAAAACATTACTGCCTTCATTTGACAATCTTGAGGGTTCCTCAGAATTCATACCAAATTGTAAAGAAATTAACTGTTCACTTTCACTTCTATCTCTCACTTTGTGGAATGCAGATGAGCTATCAAATGCTTTAACTCCTTCAAAGATTCTTTGTTTATCATAGTCAACAATCCTTAACTGCTTGGGTGTAGAATATGAATAATGTGATACAGGGGAATGATATGTACTTTGTTCTCCATCCATTAGTTCTCTTGGGCATGCCTGATTCTTAGACAAATGATAATGAGTTCGAGAACCTTGGTGTTGCGGCACACAACAATTAACCGACGGATCGTGTTCATTGTTTGCACATCTCACGTACGCAACCTTTCTCTGATTGCAATGATGATCAGAATCTGGCTGAAGGTTTAGTTCTTCCTCCATACGCTGAGAATTATACATTTGTGGTGCATCAGTTCCCCGTTGTCTGTCTACACCATCCCCTTCACTCATAACACGTCTCCTTATACTATAATCAGGTATACTGGAGTTTAAATTGTGTATTTGAATTTTATGTCTACCCTCTACGTGGATATGATAAATATGATCATCCAGCATACTAGTTGATGCAAATTTCTTATTACACAATTTACACACTACAAACTCTTGTGGTTTGAAACCTCTACAACACTGCTGAAAATGGAGACAAATACCATCGACAGTTGGAAACTTGAGATGGCAACCTTCCACAGGGCACGTAGCACAACCAGTTGTAATGATGTCCTGTTTCCACCGCACCTCCAGCTGCTCATGAACATGATGCAACCTATAAGAAACAAATTTAATGGAACTTAAGTCAAGATGAATGAAGCACACACATAATAAATGCAATTTTCTGGGAGGAGCCCAGTCGGCTCCCCGGAACTATCCAGGCTGAAGTGGATATTATTAGCTTTCAGGCATCAGTCAAAGTGCATGGAATTCGGCCTACCAGAAAACACGAGCCAGAACCTGGGCCCCCTCAGACGAGGCACGAGAAGCAATGGCTTATAGAAACCCCCGTGTGGTTGGGAGCACTCTGCCTGCCATCACCAGGTCTGGCACCCAGAAAAGTAGGCACTCCAAAACAAACTCCTGTTCTGTTGAAACAGAACAGGGGTTTGTTTTGCTTCCGGCTTCGGTAGCAAGTTTTTCAACTTGCTACCAGAAGCCGAACAAGTGGACAGAACTTCCCAAACGAAAAGTAGTAAACTAGCATGTTGCTGCGCCGCTGTCTGTGCATCCCTCCCTCCCCAGGAGGGGAAAGGGGAAGCCTCAGAACCTCGCACCGGCAATCCAACTGTCAGTTATTGGCTGATGTGCAACTGGCGTGGTCTTGTGCCTCTGGCACCTGAATTGGTCTCAGTTTCTGTGCCTTGTGGCGTGGTCTATCTCTACAGGTGGTGTGTGAGCCAGAAGTAATATTCTACAGAACTCGGGCTGCATGCACCTAGGGTGTCCTTTCTTAGGTGCCCAGTAAATACTACCCTTGGGGCTTGGTGCCACCTTCCACAAGTCGCCTTGGAATCTACCTCCACTGTGTCTTTTACTGCCCGGTACTTGGCCACCTTCAGAGTCAGCTGGGGTTTCTGTTGCCCTTGTTTGCCTCTGGGTAGGAGGTATTTTTGTCACTTGTAGGGGGCACAGGGTACTGCACAGCTAGTATCACCTCTTATAGCAGTCGGTTCTGTTCCGCCTGTGTACAATGTCCTCTTGCAGGGTTTTTCTTTTGTTTTTATTTTCCTGCCTGGTGGGGAGAGGGGCACCACCTTTGCTTGGTTGCCCCCTATCTATGATTGGGTCTTTATATAGATATCTGTGTTCTTATGTGGTACCCCCTGCTAGGCCCCCGTGAGTGGACATGTCCCGGAGGTTCAGCTTTTAGAAGTTTGCTTGATAGTCTTGGGCGCCAGTTCGCAGTATCCTGCCTGTGTTTCCCTTAGCGTGTTACTAAGGTTAAGGACCCTGGGAAACCCTGTGGGGGCTCCTTGGTCTGATGGATGTGACCCTTGAGGCCCCTCTCGCTTCGTGCATGGTTGATGGTTGCTCTGTTCCCTTGTCTCAGCGTCACAATCACTGGTGGTGCCTCTGCCATGCTGCCTGTAGGGTCGGTGATTCTTTTGACCTGGAGTCGTGCGATGTTTGTTGTTTGTACGTGCTCCAGTTCACCCAAGCTACTAATCATGATATGAGGGTGCAGGCAGCAGCTGCATTGTATACTAGGTTCAGGTTGCTGCAACACGATAGGTTGGTCGCTTCCCCGTTTTGGTTTTAGGGATCTGGACTTGGGGATGGAAGTCGCTTCAACTTTGGTTCCGTCCGCCCCCTCCCCCATGTCCTTTCCCTTCTGTTGATCATCCTGTTCCTCTCCCCCCCACCTCTCACCCCTCGATCCCCGGTGGAGGCGGAGACAAATGGCAAAATGTTTCTTTCACCCTGATGCCCATTACCTAGCAGTACTGTAAATAGGTACCTAGGAGTTAGACAGCTGCTATGAGCTACTTCCTGGGGTGTAACAAAAAGGAGGCCTGGTCGAGGACCGGCCGCGGGGACGCTAAGCCCCGAAATCATCTCAAGATAACCTCAAGATACATCTGCTCTGTTCCGCAAGCTGTCTCGTGCATTGTTTCACTTCTGAACTGCTCATGCTCTGCCTGAGCCATCCTGGTCTTTGGACTGGGTGCTCTTGTTTCTCTTTTCTCCTTGGTTTGTTGTGGCCCCCTTCAGTTCAGGACTGTTTTTCTAAGGCTCTTTTTCCTGTTGGCATTAGCCTCTTGGTGTCAGGTCGGAAAGTTTCATGCTCTCCTCCGGCGCAGGAGTTTCTGCTCTTTTGGTCCTGGTGGTAAGTTTGTTCGGTTGCAGCCATCTCCTCCTTTTCTGGTGAAGAATGAGACTGCTGCTTTCCAGAGGGGTCCTTGGGTTGTTGATGCTTGGTTGGTCAGGTTGAGGGTGCATCATGTGTTATGTCCGGTTGCGAGTCTCCGCCATTATTTGCGCGCCACGGCTTCGGCGGCTGGGGATGCGCTTTGGGTTGACCCGGTTTCCCTCCTTCCCTGTTCCTGGGCTCGGGTCTCCCAGGTCTTCCGCAGGGTTATTAATTCTAGCCAGCCTGCAGTCTATCCTCGTGCTCACGACGTTCGTAAGTTTGCTGCTTTGGCTACCGTTTTTGGCAAAATGTCTTGGGTTGACATTCGGGCACGGGGTTTTTGAGGTCAAACAGGGTCCTGGCCACTCGCTACCTTGTCAATGTCCCTGAACCTGGTAGGACCTGCGTTGCATTGGGTCGGCAGTTGCGGCCATTTGTCTCAACTTCGCATTGACTAGTGAGGACTGACAGCCGCCTGGGAAAGTCCCTGTTTTTCCTTGTCTTTGGGTAGTTAGCTCTGGGGAGCCGACGGGGCTCCTCCCAGAAAATCAGCATTGAATGTAATGAAATGCCATTTTCTGGGCGAGTCCCGGAGGCTCCCCGGCATCCCTCCCTCCGGTCAGCAGTGTTTTTCAAGTGTTTTTGACATCCAGTCTAAGAACTGATGGTTGGATTGCTGGCGTGAGAGTCTGAGGCTTCCCATTCTCTCTCCCGTGGAGGGGAAGGGGGGTTGCACAGACAATGGCGCGGCAACTTGATGACGTCAAGCTCATTTGCTACTTTTTGTTTGGGGAGTTCTGTCCACTCGTTCGGCTCTCGGTAGCAATATTTTGAACAGAAAATGGGTAAGTTTTGAGGTGCCTACCTTTCTGGGTGCCAGACGCGGTTGATGGCAGATACAGAACGCTCCAACTACACGGGGGTTTCTATAGACCATTGCTCCTCGTGCCTCATCTGAAGGGGCCAGGTTCTGGTTCGTGGTCCCCGGTAGGCCGAACTCCATGCACTTTGACTGATGCCAGAAACTTAATTATATCCATATCAGCCTGGATAGCTCTGGGGAAACCTCTGGGACTTGCCCAGAAAATGGTGTTTCATTACATTTAACGCTGGTTTTTTGTGCTAAACAGAGGTACGGTTAGACTTGCACAAAGAATTTACTTTCACCAAAGAAAAGAAAACCTTAAATATAAAGTACATCACTACCTTGGGACAAATACTTACATAAATTTTAAATGAGTACACACTTCCTATTAGTTTGAGGATAACATTTTTCTTAAATGAGAAAACTGCAGTACAATATCATGTAAGTAATAACTTGTCACCATAATTTCTTAATTACCATTTGAAGATTTGGTGTGCCAACCAAAATTTGTGCTTGACAAGCTACCATATTTTGGCATATAGGATGCAGAAGAAAATTGTTATGTGCACGCTGCTCTTTCAAACCACTTTCAATAAATGTAAGATGAACCATACAAAATGGGGGTTTTCCATAAATATCCTTGTAAAATAGGGGTATATCTTAAGTGAAGGCACCTCTTTATATGCCAGCAAATATAGTAGATGCCATATTTTTTCAGGGAGGGACCACTCAGCAATGCAACAATACAAGGTCTTTTTCTCCATCCTAGTAAGTAGCAGTGTGAGATTCCATTTCATCCTGGTAGGACGACACCCTTTTGTTTTCTCAAGGCAGAATTGCAAGCACTTGCCTGGTGAAAAAGTTGCCCTGGTTTTACAGGTCATTCTTGAGGGTTCTTTTTTTCTGTGCTAAAAAAAATAGTGCTGTTTGCTCTTGGCTTAGTAGCTTCACATCCAGGTACACTGGTTGCCTTCAACATGGAGGTGTGGCAATGCTCACACTTGTTTGGCAGAAATTTTTCTTTCTTGTACTGTACAAGGTGTCTTTCTCAGGCTGTTTCGGCCAGGTCTTGGTTCTATTTTTGCGATTCTCACATCCTCTGCCTTGTTACATGCTGTTGTAGCCATGGTTGTTTGCACTACTCTTGTGGTTGTGGGCCTTCTTGTAACTCTCTAAGTGTACATGCTTTCCGTTTTGGTTTCTCACTAGGAATTCATTTTGTCATTTTCCCTCTTACTCCCTACGCTGTTCTCTCCTCTCCTTAGGTTGGGGAGGAGGGGTGGAGGGTTCCCTAAGTTTCATATATAATTAAGCATATTTTATTCAGATTTACCAGCATAATGATAGGTTAACTTTTAACTTTTGTTAAATTTTCTAAACTCCTTTCTATAATAGCTTCCAGTTTTCTGGAGAGCTTTTATTACATTTCATCCATGCTCTTATTTTTCATTAACTAAGCCATTTCACATTTTTTCCAATCATTATGCGGTTTGTTTTAAAATGCGCGCCAACGTCTTCCCATTCTCTTTGGCTATACATGGATAAACATAATGCTTTTGCATTATACAAGTACTGCACAACTGATACCAAGAAACTTACAATTCTCCAGTTCCACGAAGTAGTCATCTGGTCACTAATATACTTTGAGTATAAGGATTAGCCTCTCAAAAATGACAATATCATATATGCTGGTGACGAGGATGACAGCAGTTTTACTAGTGGCCACTCTTCTTTACCTTTATGTACTTTAACTTATGGTATCAGTAATGTTCTTATATTTCCTATGTGTACATATTCCTTTACAGCATTCTATTGCGAACAATTTGATACCAAATTGAACGACGTAGCATGAAAATTGAGGTAAGAAAGCTTAAAAAGAGTACTGTATATACATAGCTTGGGCTATCTTGGGGTGCGCAGTGGCCCACCCGCCGGGGAAGCGAAAGTGTTGAAGTGGTTCTTTGTATACATGAAACAATAGTACTTCAGCTTACAAATTTAATCCATTCCCAGAGACAGTTCGTAAGCCAAAAATTCGCAACCCAAAATGAATTTTCCCATAAGACATAATGTAAATTGAGTCCCGGAAGACATAACGTAAATTGAATTAATCCGTTCCACACTCCTCAAAATATTAACTTCAAAATAATTTTCATACCTAATTCACCCAAATACTTAGTACTATAGTATGTACAAGTTATTGCTTACTTTTATTGATGACTCTTGTTGGCGTATTGAAGATGGTGAGGAGAGGGGGACGAGAAGAGGTGTTAGTGTTTGGAAGGGGGAGCCCCCTTCCATTATAACATCAGGCAGTGGTGACTTCTCTGGGGTACTTTCTCTCTAATGTTTTGCCCGCATACCACTAGGACCTAGTTGTGGCTCACTACTTGTTTTTCTCACTAAAAACCTTTCCATGGAGACTTTTTTTTTCCTACATTGTAACACTTGTCTGTAGTGAGGCATCACAGTGTCATTAAAAAGGTTAAGGCAACGGCCTACTTTAGTTTGCTGTGGGCGAGTCGTTTCAACAAAAATTTGCATTTTTTCCCATAGTCTCCACCACTTTTTAATTGTTGAGGAAGGGACATTCTGTACTGCCTCCTCCTCCCCTGAAGAAATTTGCTCAGCTGCCTCTTGTTGCTGCTCCTTATGAAAGACTAGGAGTTCTTCGGTGGTCAGTTCTTCACTGCGTTTCTCCAACTCACCACACTGTAAATGCCACTTCTTTTTCTAAATTTCTCAAACCATCCCGTACTCGCCTTAAACTCTTTCGTATCTGCATCACTCGATCAAGAGGTTTTCTTTATAAGATCTTCATACAATAGCCTTGCAAATAATAACCTCTGAAATGCTATCACCTACTAACTCCTTGTTGTGTATCCAAATTAATAGCAAATTTTCGACGTCCTTTAAGTGTTTGTGTTCTTTGTTTCATGATTGTTGAAATGCTTTTTGCCACTGTAGCACTTATAATGTCATAATGTCCTTTTTCTTAGCAATTACAGTGCATATCGTCGACATAAGATTTGTTGTACTGCCTAGCTAGTTCAACAACCCGTGTACTATTTTCATGTTTACAAATTATCTCTTGTTTTTGCTCTGTGGTCATCCTCCCATGTGTTTTCTTAGGTTGAACCTTACCACTGACTTTCTTGGGACCCATGACATGATATGTAATAATTACTTTTATGTTCAAAACCCAAAAGAACGAAAAACAATGAAATTCTTTACAAAGAATTCATGCGCGATTGTCACTAAGCGAGAGGAACTGGTAAACTGAAGCACGAGCGACTGTGCCACCAGGAACCACGTGCTAGGCCGCCCATACGTGTATCAACAAACTAAGTTACCTCAAGCAAAGCTCGTAAGCTGATTCACCATTTACTAAGAAATTAAGCTCGTAACCCGAAAAGTTTGTAAATAGGGGCATTCGTAAGCCAAGGTGTCACTATAGTTAAATGATATTCAAAGGTATACTTACTTTGAGGGTGGGCACAGCTTTGATGTCCCCAAAGTAGAATATCGATGAAAATCTCTCCCATCTTCATCCTCAGATACCTGTAAAAACAAATAATGTATGTCTTGATAATGCTCAACTCCTACACTATAATAATTGCTATCTGCAATATCCTCTTGTGCTTCAATCACTATATGCAATTCTACATGCACTACATGCAAAAACAATGCATGTTTTTCCCATTTGATATGTTAAAGCAATATTTCATGTCATGCACACATTCATGTAGTACTTTTAAACAGCAAATCCGTACGAGCCATGATGAGGGTTCGAACCTATGCACTGGGTGTGGCAGGCCCATGCTCTAGACAACTATACCATGACAAGGTCAAAAGGATTGCAAATTGGGAGGGTGTCCCCACTGGGGAGGACAACTATACCATGACAAGGTCAAAAGGATTCCCGAGGCTTCCACTGAAGCCAAACCAAAGTTTCACACAATGCTGCCATGCCTACTGGCTTTGTCATCTAGGAATGTTCTACCTCCGATGCTTCTCGGAGGCCTCTCAGTATCCTCTTTGCCTCTGTCAACTTTCGAAAGCCTACCAAACATACAAGACCAGACTCTGGTGATCTCACAGAGGTGTGAAGGAAGTGTACACATGTACATACGAACAATCGACACCAAAGCGAACTGCACATTAATCTTAAACTTCTTTTCTTTTTGATAGTAGGTGTAGTTTGCATGAAGGGTTTGTCCTCCCGATGACTGCACCAGTACAGATGTTGGTGGACACGTTTATGTTGAGGATGATCAGAGTTACAAAGGTGCTTGTTGCGTTGTGCTGTAGACAGAGGAGCGGCGACTAAAACAGAGGTGTGTATTATAGGGAGACTTGCCACACCGCAGGGCGGTATGTTGTGTTTATGGCGTCAGCTGATCCATGGTGCTGCGACGAGGCGGTTGTTTTCTGTGTTTAACTGTTGGGGGCGCCAGGTATAAATGTGGCGCGGGTCAGATGTGACCCAATTTGTTGGTCGACTGGAGATATTTAGCCAGTGCTTTGACTATTTGGTATTTTTCTTGTAACAAGTGGTCACCACCTCCTAATATATTCTCGATGGTAAAGGGTATTTTAAGTGCCTTGTTTGAAATTTACTCTGGCACTATGATGTCGGAAGCAGTGCAGGAGATAGTGTTCGATTGTTTCAGGCACCTGACAGTAAATGCAGAGTTCATTGATGTCTGTTCTGTACTTAGAGCTGTGTGCTGCTAGTTTGGCATGTCCCCAGCCTTAATCTGGTCATCGTTACATCAATTTCTCTGCTTTTATATCGGACATGTTTCCAAGTTTCCCATTTCTTTTTAATAGACCCATAGTGCAAAGGTGAGCATCACGTTTTCCAGTTTGTTGCAAAATCCTGGGAGATGGTATCTTTGAAGGCTCCTTTACGTGTAACATGGGAAATTGGATGATGGGTAATGTGAGGCTTTGTTGTGCATCGCTTTGGCTAGTTGGTCTACAAGTTTATTATGGAGAATACCGCAATGTGCTGGGACCCATTGGATAGAGGTATCATAACCGTTCAATTGATGTTTGTGAAGAAGTTGAAGGCATGGGTAGAAAATCTCCTTGCACGTTTTTGAAGAGTACGAAATTGCTTGAATCGTGCTCTTGGAGTCACTACAGATTGTATATATCCCAACTAGTAATGTTGTGATTATTTGGAGAGCTTGATATAAGGCATATAATTCCGCTGTGAAAATAGATAGTTGGTTTGGTAACCACCATCCCTGCTTGAAATGGTATTCCGGTATCCATACAGCGCTAGTGACCGAGGGTACGTTGTTCATGATGATGTGAGGCCCATCTGTATAAATCGTTGTGGTATTTGGGTAGCAATTTTTCATTGTTGAGGTAAAGACTGAGGCTATGGCTGAGTTTGGTGCAGATTTTGGAATGTTGTCTTCGAGTTGTATTGCTGTATTAGGAGTTGTATAAAGCCAAGGTGGAATAGGGGGGGACAGGAAGTTGGGTTTCGGAGTTTTGGAGTAGGGAGAGGTCTATATTGAGGTTATTTGTAGCCCGTGTGAGGAAAGGTTGCGAGTGAATGGTTGGGAAGCAGGGGTTATGTGGGTCAACTGATGGGTTAATTTTTTATCTGTATGGGTGTGTCTGGTGAGCAGTGGTACAGAGTGACAGATAGTTGGCACACACAATGTCTTGTCTGATGGCTAAGCTTGTGAGGCCCATTTCCCCGTAAAGTCCGAGGACAGGAGTGGAACGCATTGCGCCACATATAAGTCGCATGGCATTATTTTGTATGACCTCGAGGCTCTGTAGGTTAGTAGGCACAGCCGACGCATATGCTTGGCAACAATAGCCTAGTTGGCTGCGAATGTAGGCTGTATAGAAACGGAGCAAGATTTTATGGTATGCTCCCCAGGTGGTGCCAGTGAGGGCTTTAAGTATGGCGAGTCGGGGTTGAGTCATCTGTTTAAGGTGTTGAATGTGTACCTTCTAGGTAAGTAAGGGGGAGTCTAAGCGCATGCCAAGGTATTTATGTTCTCGTACGTGTTGGATGGGAGTGTTGTGTATTGTGAGGGTGGGTAGATGAACAAGTCTTTTTTTAGTGAAAATTTGATAGCAGGTTTTGGTAGTACTAACTTGAAGGCCCTATCGTTGTGTCCAATCTATGAGGTGGTCAAGTGCTGTTTGCATTGTTGAGACTGCATTAGGTACGACAGTGTCTGAATAATACAATATTAAGTCGTTGGCGTACGCCGAGAGGTGAGCAGGATGGGTGTTAGGCAAATCTGCTAAGAATGCAGCGAATAGGGTTGGGCTTAGTATGGAGCCTTGTGGGATACCCGTTTGTATTGGAATGCCATCGGAAAACTCGCCTTGCATAAACACTTTGGAGGTCCTGTTCGTAAGATAGAACTGTAACCATAGAAGTAATCTTCCCCGTACGCCTAAACATACAAGCTTTGCCAAGAGGCAAGTATGAGGAATGCTATCAAAAGCTCCTTTGAGGTCTAGGTAGAGAACAAGACAATATTTACTGCTTTCTGAGAGAAGTGCAGATTTCATGTTCAAGGCAGAGCATTTGATCAAGTGTGGAGCATTGCGGTTGAAATCCAGCTTGGAGTGACGGTATAATATCATTATACTCAAGGTACCATTCGAGGCGAATATGTACTAGCCTTTCCATGACTTTACTGAGGCATGATAGTAAGGAGATAGGTCTGTATGATGCAGGTTGGGATGGGTCTTTCCCTGGTTTAAGGAAAGGAAGAATAATACTGCTCTGTCATTGTGAGGGAATATTTCCGTGAGTCCAGCATAGGTTGTAATAGTTTAGAAGAGTGCTATGTGCAGTCAATGGAAGATATTTGATGAGTTCATATGGAATTCCATCCTCTCCAGGTGCCTTGACAATAGGTAGGTGGTTTAAGGCTAATCGTAGCTCGCTTCAGGTGTCCATGTTGTCGACGCCAAGCATGGGCAGCGGTATGGCACGGTCAATTTCTTGTCTGAGGGAGAGTTCTTGGGCATAAAGGAATGGTGTTGAGAGGGTAACTTTAAGGCATTCAGTAAGAACGTTTGCACGCTCCTGAGGCGTTTGACAGAGTGAACCGCTGATCATCAGGGGGAACGAAGGGAATGTTGGGTGACCTTTAATGCTGTTAAATGTAGCTCAGACTTTTGAGTGTGGCGTGGTGGGTGTGAGGCTATCACAGAATGTTGCCCACGATGCTCGCTTTGCTGATAGTATTTTTTTTTTGGCCGCTGCTGTGGCTCGCCGGAGATTGACCCAGTTCTGTAGAGAGGGTTGACGTCTTTCTTTTTGGATGGCTCGTCGGCACAAAGCGACTGTTCGTGCACATTCCGCGTTCCACCACGGTTTAAGTGGTTTGTCGAACCTATGTCCTGAAGTTTTCCTGAACATTTGGGTGGCTGCAGAATTTATGGCAGAGGTGATTGTGGACAGTCGCGTGTTAGGGTCTATATAGTCTGTGTCTGGGAGACAGACAACATCAGCCCATTTTTTCTTATCTAGGTTCTTAATGTTCCACTTGAGGAGCGTTAGCGGGTGGGTTGGTGGCTGAAAGTTAGTAAATTTTATACCGAGGGATTTGTGGTCACTACCAATATCTGGTCCAGTATGAAACTGTAGTTCATGTTGAAAGTGTGCCGAGCCAAAGCAGATGTCAAGTGAGGCTTAATAATTGGTTCTGACCTAAACTATCAAATGCTCAGAGACAATCAATGAAACAATTTGAAAATATGTCAAGTGATAGTTGGCGACAGGTAACAACCATGATATTATCCTCTTCTAAGATGATGTTACCCTTTAATAAATAAACCAGTTATATTATACAGCAAGTACATCATTTTGGAGAATGACTGCAGCAGTACAAGAGCTAGGCATCTGATTTAACAGCATAAAGCAGTGGGAAAAATAACATGAATGAGATATAAAGTTAAACTAAAAAGAAATTATGCAAAGATCACCATTAACACTTACTCTGCTCCAATCACTATCTGTGACTTCCTCCTTTGCTCTAATTGCTATTTGCAATTTCCTCCTCTGCTCCAATCCCTATCTGCAATTTCCTTCTGTGCTCTAATGGTTATTTGCAATTTCCTCCTGTGTTCCAATCATTATCTGTAATTTCCATGTGCTCCAATTTCTAGCTGCAATTTCCTCCAGTGCTCAAAATGCAATTGATCATTATGGTTACCATAAAGTACTTTTCCATGTGCACTTGGATGTAGGACATTTAAATAGCTTACTTGTTTATGGGTTAAAAAATGGAGGGAGAGGAGGGGAGGATATTTAACAAATAGAAAACTATAGAATAACTAAACAAAATATAAACAAATTCAAAAAGTGAAGATAACTTACTACTGCTGTTGCTCCAGAAGATGCAGCTGAAGAAGGTAAGAGAGGTTTTCCGGCCTTCTGACTAGACCGATTTCCTTCTATCGCACCTGTCGCTCTAGCAACCTCGCTACTGCTTGAATCACTGCTTGGGTGCCGAGATGGTTCTAACTGATGCATGGCTTTCATATGATGATACAAATGATCCACTGCAACTACAGCATGGCATCTGCTGCACTTCAGCATGGCACTGTTGCATCTCTGTAATGAGTAAACATATTTCAAATACAATTTTTATTACAATACTGTAGTGCACATGAAAATTCAATCTTACACATTATTTAATGTTTCAAGAAAAACACATGCACAAGTAATTTAGACTTTCACTACTAAGGCACTAAAAAACAGCGTTGAATGTAATGAAACACCATTTTCTGGGAGAACCCAGGAGGCTCCCTGAAGCTATCGGGCTAATATGCAATTCATTAGACCAGGGCATTAGTCACACTGAAAAAGTTCTTTCTAATGTCTCTGTGGCTCATTAGGGTACTCAGCTCCCACCTGTGTCCCCTTGTCCATGTACCACCCATGTTAAATAACCCATCCTTGTCCTTGTCCAGAGTGTGTGGGAATTGGAGTGTGTGTAGGGGTTAGAGTGAATGTGTGAGGGTTAGAGTGAGTATGTGGCAGTTAGAGTGTGTGTGCACTCACCTAAGTGTACAGTACTTTCTTTCATTGAATTTGAAGGGGTTGAAATCCAGCTCTTCAGTAACATCTCTCAACCTTCAATCAACTGGTATACAAGTTCCCAAGTCCATTGGGCTCTATCATATCTACACTTGAAACTGTGCATGTCTACCACCTCACTTCTTGGTGCTTTACATTTGTTCACTAATTTGATACAGCAAAAATTCTCTCTACTGTGTTTGTGGTTCATTTGGGTGCTCAAGTTTCCACCCCTGCCCCCCTTGTTTTAGTACCACCTACTGTATGTTAAATTATACTTACTTGTGTGCCCTATCAATCCCCCACCCCCCCAAGGATTTGGCATAGGGGGTAATCATGTCTCTCATAACTCTTCCGTTTGTCATGAACGTGAGGTTTAATTCGCAATGCCTCGCCTTGCAGCCCATACCTCTCGGCTCTGGGACTAGTCTGGTGGCCCATCTCAAACTTTTCATTAGTTTCCCTCTTATGTTTTGACTAGATAAAGATTCCATGCTGGGGCTGCACAATAAATGACTGGTTTGACACCTGAGGTATATAAGGTCCAGAGTGATTCCTTACTCAAATTTCTAAAGGCAGCTCCTCACACCACCTGGCCATATACCATTTCTCTGTTTAGAAGCACTATCCCTATGCATACGGTTAGATTTTGTAACTTCCTTACAGGTGAAATGTCATCTACAAATTTAAGTCTACTATCATTTTGTGCATTTAATCTATTCAGTATTGATATCAGCATTGTATGCTATTCTTTATTAACCATGGTTGTTACTAACTCTTAACAATGGCTTTATTATATTGTACAAATGTCAGACTTAGAAATGCAACCGTCTTGAGTTATTAAAATAAACTTTCCAATAGTTTATTTTCATAATAACAATGTTACTTTAGCTCTCATGTCGTCTAACACTCTCTTACTTTCTCATTTGTACCTTATGGACACAAATTCAAATATGGAATACTCCTCGCATTCTCATTTCTCACAGAACGCAAACAGCAGCAACGTCACCTGTGAAACAACACACACGGTACCATGTGTAAATATATATGTACTTGACTGACACAAGTCAGCCAAGTACAGGCAATTAGATCATCGGTACAACTTCGTTCCAATAGGGTCTGAGACCCTAGGCCCATGGGGAGAGAGTGCAAGAAGGTTTCTTAAGGATCTTGGTTCTAAGCTCATTGACAGTACAAGAGACCCTAGAGCAGCAACTTTTCTCTTTCAGCGCCTCAGTGTCGCGATCCAGAGGGGGAATGCCCGCTGCATCCTTGGTTCCTGCCCGGCGTCGGAGGAGTTCGAGGAAATCTACAGCCTCTAGGAAGCAAACTTTTTCTTGTGTCCTCTTAACATCCATTTTTTGTATAAAATAAGATATGTAACTGTATAACCTTGCATAATAAAGTGTACACCATAAAAAAAGGGGGATGGTAGAAGCGAACACTCTTAGTATTCAGAGTTAAATGGCAAGTTTTTCCCTGAATGCTCTGTGTTCCCTTCTCTGAGGCTGTGGGTCCCTATAATTGTACCAGAGGTGGTACCCTCCTATATATGTACAGTATTTATATTTCCAGGCTGTACCAGATATGTTTCTGAATAACATTGTTTTAGGTCATCTCATACATAATAGGAATTTTCCAAGAGATCAATTCAGAAAAGATAAGGATACATATTGGAAAGAATACAATTTCTTACCCCAGTGCAGTTGACGTAGTGATTCTGAATCTGCGGAACACCATGAAACATGAGGCCACAATTATTTACAGGACAAATCACATAGTTTTTCTCACAGAGTTGGGAATTCCACGCAGCCAACTGAGAACAGCTTATACTTCGCCGAACACCATATTCAGTCTCCCCTTCCTGTAAATTAATAAAAACAAAAATCATTGTTCCTAGTTTTTCTCTATCAGCCTAACAACACACATGCAGTTCTAAAAGTTCTAAAACAATAACTCAAATTAAACTCATCTAGAATTCTAGATGATTACCAATTTTCACACGAGCCATAAGAAGAAAAATAAACTACGCACATTAGAACAAAATTAAATAATATACAGAACACACATGTGTTATACTCAAAATTCTGTCAGTTGAAATGTAACCAATCACAGGCAAGTAGGCCTCTGACGTCATGCCAGACAGAGGAGCATCAGCGATGCTCCCAGCAGACTCAGTTATCCTCACAGACCCAGAGTAGGTGGACCTCGGCTGGCCAGTTATACACCTGTTTGCCTCACTCAATAAATATATACAGAAGCGACTACTGTGTCTACATTCAACCCGAACAAGGCAAACGAATACTGGTAGCAGCAGTGGGATCCAGAAATTTTTTCTGGAAGCAAAAGTTCCAGTACCCAGCATCGCCTCGTGTTCCAGCCAAAACCGCCGCCACCGCCACCGCCATAAGCCGCCATCCTGCCACCCACGCATCAAATATTGTGCCAGACCGGGGTCCTGCCATCAACCACTACTCCAGGCTAACGTTTTAGAAGTAAGGGTCAATATTTTCCTGTGAGAACGCTCACTCATCAGTGAGGAGGAAGGAAGCTTCCCGCGCCAGCCATTTTTGAACCTCGCGCCACCACGTGGGAACCACCTATTACACCCACCACCACCACCACCGCCACCCAAGCTGACAGTATCAAGCTTCGTGAGGGTGCAAGCTACTGCAATCGTCGTCAGCCATCGTCGCAGGTATCAACTGGTTATTCCATCGTCGCAATATTGTCGTCGTCAGAATTTATCTTCGTGCCTCTAGCCTGAACAGTGTGGGGTCCCTGAGTCTCGCGCCACCGCCGCCAGGAGCGCTGCCGTCGCATCCAGTTTGTAAACACGCCTCACATGGGCCTCTTCAGATCTTCACGACGCTTCTCCTACTTTGGCTACTGGTGATCCTCATAAATTACAACCCTGAGATAAGTAATTGCTAGTTGAGAACAACGTGCCAAGTGTTAAAAAGTGACTTATGTAATAATTCCCATAATATCCTGTGAATTAACCATTCAGTGACTTGTTAAATATTGGAGCTGGTTCAGTACTGCACTCCCCACAGTTTTCCTGTGTGATTTCAACATTCCTGCTTCTTACAGTAATTTCATTGAATTTTAATTGTTCTCCTAGAGTGTTATTGGTAAATTCAAATTCCAGTGAATTAAGAAATCCTTGTTTTAGTAGCAGTTAAGGATTTGTGCAATATAATTTTTTTTAATTTCTCCAGACCTAACTTGAAATTTATCCTTTAAGCATTTTATTTTAAACTTTTACCATAGGAGTTATATACATTCCTGTGTCCAGTTTATGTGCTACATCCATATTTCTTGCATTGCCACTTGTTGTGTTGAATCTTTTTAATGAAATTTTGCAATTGCATTTCCCAGTTTTTATTCTAAATTGCTGTGCTTAGTCTGGTTTAATTAATTTACATACATCTAATTCCAGTCATTTTTTTAATGAAAGATTGCTAAATTTAGTTTACAATTGCTTGTTCTTGATTATTTTCTTGCCTAGCCCAATTTAATAATTTTATTTCTGCCATTTTTACTTTAGCCAAGTTGATATTTTTTTGTGTTTATTTTTGTGTATACTATTTCTGATGCCAGGTGCACTTAATTATAATCTGCGTTCAAATATTACTTCCACGGCTGTGACAATGCCTACCACTGTTGAAACCCCTTCAGAATCAATGGGAACAGTTGCTTGTCCCAATGGCCAGAGATCAGCTCAGGAAATGGCTATTCCTCTTTTTGCTGGGGAATCGCGTTTATTAGAATCATGGTTTAGTAAGGTTGAAGCGAAAACAGTTGCACGTTTTTCTAAGCCTACTGATGCCGAATACTTAGCAATTGCACGGTCAGCCGTGGACACAACCAAAGGTGATGCACGTTTTGTTGTTGATGAGAAAGCCATTGTTAGCCTCCAGTCTTGGCCTGAATTTAAGGATTTCTTTCGCCGTCGCTTTGTTAATAAAGGAGACCTTGACCCATATAGGTTAGTCAAGAAAATTGCCAATGCCACCATGCAGCCTGGTGAATCGTTTAATGCGTTTACTAGCCGTCTCGATCAGTATCTGTATGCCTTAGTTTCTGCTATGAATAATTCGACTTGGTTAGATAAAGACAATAATCTGTCCCCTGAGGCTATGGCCAAAATGATAGCATTTGGTACTTTAATGCATTTTGCCCCTGAGCATACAAAACCAATCGTTGAGCAACAAAATTTTGGTGTTAAACATGAAATTGGTGAAGTGTTTGAGGCTATTAACAATGCCGCCGATAAACTAGCTCCCCGAAGTGCTCAACTGTTGCCACCCTCTGATGCTGTAAATGTAGTTACAAGTTCTCAGCATCCTCCCACAAATTCTCAAAACTCTTGGTCGCAGAAGCGTACCCATGCTCGTAGCCCCCAGTCAAATTCGCCGCCTCATAAAATGCCGAAACGCCATAGTCCACAACCATCCACTCCCTCATGTTGGCATTGTGGTAAGAGTAACCACCTTGCAAGGGACTGTTGGTCCGCCCCTAGATCATCACCTCCTAGACAATTCTCTCGGCCCCCTCATCAATCTAATCATTCTAGGCTTCCATATTGCACGTACCATAAACAAGTTGGTCACCACACTGCGGATTGTAGAGCTAGGCAAAGGACATCTCCACCTCGTAACTCCCATGGTCAGTCTTGGCGAGGCTCACAGCGTCCAAGACATTATCAGAACTCTCGTAATTACAACTCCCAGCCCAGCTATAATGCAATTTCAAATTATAATGCTCAGTCACAGAATGCTGGAGCTCAGAATGTTCACTCCATGTCGTCGGGAAACCCCCAAGGCCATCCGCTAACCAATTCAAGCTAGCCAATCCTAGTGCCCTCCCTGTGTATTCAGTAGCTACCCAAAATAGATTTGGACACTTGACAGAGGAGGACACTGACTCTAAACCAGTTGTAGATGTTGACGGATCCACAGTAAATTTGACACAAACAAGACGCAGATATCCCAGACAACATAAGTCAAAAATAGTAACTTGTCCAGTCTCAAGTGATGGTCCCCTTGTATCAGCCATTGTACATGGTAGAGTTTTAAAAGTTTTTCTTGACTCAGGTGCAAAAATTAATATTGTCAAGCCCTCAGCTCTTAGAGACATTGAAAGTATGCACCCTACTATTTTAAAACAGTCACACATACCTTTTCTAAGTGGTATTTCAGGAAATAAAGTAAAAGTTCAGGGTGAAATTGACCTCCCACTCAAGTTCAATGATGTCACATTGTCTATAACATGTTTAGTTGTTGACATTATTCATTTTCCTGGAGACATTCTCTTAGGTCTGTACACCATGATTGATGAAAATATTGCATTGTTTCCCCATCGTTGGAACATAAGTATCAAAGACCATGTCATACCCTTGTGTAGCATGTATCGACAGGGCCACGAGTTCAACCTTCAATCAGATTATGTTAATTTTGTTGACACCCGCCTTGCTAGCGTAGGTTTGTCAGATCATTGTCGTGGTAGCATACCCGAGAAAACAGGCACTCGATTGAAGCATAGTAGTTGTACAGTTGTTAAGGAGAATGAGTATCGGGACTTTCTGGAAGGGGACGCCCTAACGGATTCTCGTTGTCTCGCTCGCCTGGCAGCTTCCATCTCTGAAGTCAGTGGTTCCACGGCTACTGACACTGTGCTACACCCTCATTCTCTCACCAGAATAAGAGTTAAGGTTCAGGGAGTGCCTGAGTTGTCGGATGTGATTGCGGAAAGTGAAACATGTAAAGTGAATGGTACATTTGTTGAACCCTCCTGGCACACAGTGCAGGATGGTACTGTCTCACTTTTTATCGCGAACACAAGTAATGCCGATATCCATCTCCAGTCTGGTACCCATGTTGTAGATTTTGCCCATTACTCGTTACCGGTGCGAGTTGTGGATGATGTCTCCATGGATCATACTGTTTGTACACTCACACCAGGAGAACAGGGATCTCAGCCAGAGGTGCAAGCGCAACACCTCAGTCCTACTGATTTTCCTGACTCTGTGGCTCAGCTTTTGAAAATTTTGAACAAGAATAGAGCTGTTGTTGCTCTACCAGGAGAAAAATTAGGTCTCACTCCTCTTATTACACATAAAATTCCCCTTGAACAAGGAACTACGCCTATTTATGTACCAGCTTACCGTCTTCCCCATTCTCAGAGAGCAGAAGCAGATAGACTTGTAGAAGAAATGTTACAGAGTGATGTAATTGAATCGAGTAATTCGCCATGGAACGCTCCATTGATTCTTGTACCAAAGCGAGATGGGACTTGGAGACCTGTAATCGATTATCGCAAGCTTAACAGAGTAACAATACCTGATCGTTTCCCACTTCCAGTTCTAAATGATTTGTTGCAAAGCATTGGTCGAAACAAAGTATTCTCAACGTTAGATTTGTTGCAGGGATTCTGGCAAATCCCCCTTGATGAGGAAAGTAAACAATTGACAGCCTTTAGTACTCCCAATGGTCATTTTCATTTCAAAAGAATGCCGTTTGGTTTGCGTAGTAGTCCAATAACCTTTTCACGGCTCATGACAAATCTATTTCGTAGATTGATAGGAAGTACGCTTCTAGTTTACCTTGATGATCTCATAATCATGTCGCAAGATGTTCAGACTCATTTCCAGAACCTTGAAAAGGTACTTGCAAAGCTCGCTGAAGCTAATTTAAAAATAAAGCTTGCAAAATGTTCATTTTTAAAGCAAAAGATTAATTTCCTAGGTCATACAGTTACACCTTCAGGTATTACATTGAATGAATCAAAAATTATTGCTGCCCGTGATTTTCCAACACCTCGTACCGCAGAAGCCGTAAGACAGTTCACAGGTCTTGTAGGATTTTATCGTTCATTTATTGCTGGATTCTCTATTATAGCCGCTCCGCTTTACAAGTTGCAAAGAAAAGATGAACCCTTTGTTTGGGGAGAGGCCCAGGATCAGTCATTCAAAAAACTCAAAGCAGCCTTGATTTCGTCACCTGTCCTTAGGTATCCAGATTTTTCTAAACCTTTTACGTTGGTTACAGATGCTAGTGACATAGGTCTAGGTGCTGCATTACTTCAAACAGAAGGTCACAGAGATCACGCAATAGCTTATGCTAGCCGTACTTTATCTAAAGAAGAGAAAAATTATAGTGCAACAGAACGAGAAGCCTTGGCAGTTGTTTGGGCACTTAAACATTTCAAGGATACAATTTATAATTACCCAGTTCATGTTCTTACAGATCACCAACCATTAATTCCCTTGTTCAAAAATAAGAATCCAGTTGGAAAGTTTGCTAGATATTTGCTCACAATTCAAGAATTCAATCCCACATTTGGATATATTCCAGGAAAGCAAAATGTTGTAGCCGATGCGTTTTCTCGACACGTAGCTGCGATTCAGTTAAATTACCCAGCATTAGATGCTACAGTAGTAGAAACGGAACAAAGACAAGACCCCATATGGGCACCCGTCATTAAATTTTTGACTAAGCAAGACACTCGCCCGATTCATAAACCACCAGTACCATTGAAAGAACTAGTTATGTTGGACAATTTACTGTGTAGAGTAGTAAAGCTAGGGACAGCCCCGAGGAAATGTTGTCAGTTAGTTGTTCCAGCTGTCTTGGTACCAACTGTGTTAAAAATTATCCATGATGCTCCTGCAAGTGCACATCCAGGAAAGGATCGTACACTCCAACAAGGTCGATTGAAATATTTTTGGCCAAAAATGGCTAAGGAGATTGCTCATTATGTTGACAGATGTTTAACTTGTTTACAGCACAAGGGACATGTTTCAGGACCTAATCCAATTCAGGTGTACCCAGCAACTAAAGCTCCTTGGGAACGAATATCGATGGATTTATTGACAAATTTTGCGGAAACAGAGAAAGGGAACAAACATTTGCTTGTAATGGTCGATAATTTTTCACGGTTTTGCGAACTAGTTCCTATCCCGAACAAAACAGCAGAAACCATAGCCAGCGCATTCCATGACCAAATAATTTGTAGATATAGTATGCCTAAAGTAATCCTTTCAGATAATGGTCCAGAATTCAGTAATAGTATTCTAACTAGCTTGTGTGATTTATATAACATCAAAAAATGTAGCATCATGCCTTATCATCCGGCAAGTAATGGACTAGCTGAACGTACTAACAGGAAAGTGTTAGATGCCTTGAGAGTCACGTTGAATTTTGATAACAACAATTGGGATGATTTTATACCCTTAATTCAGTGTGCTATAAATTCTTCAATTAATGTTTCTACTGGTGACACACCTCACGCTATTCTTTATGGTACAGATAAGATCCTCCCTAATGAATTGATTAACGTACCTCCTACTCCCTTATATAACGTAGATGATTTTGTTCAAGTGAAGCGTAGACAAATGCAATTAGTATTCAAGAAAATACGAGAACAACTGTCCAAAGCAACAGCCGAGTTCACTCTAGCAAGGAATGCACGAGCTAAACCCAATAAAATAACTATTGGATCTGTAGTAATGATACTTAACCAACACAGGTCTGGTCCTATGTACAAGTTAACTAAGAAATTTTTGGGTCCATATAAGGTAATCGAGCTTATTAAAGGTAACAAATACAGACTTAAGAACTTGTTAACAGGAGAGTATATAAATGAACATTTAGACCACATGAAGTTAGCTAAAATGACTGTTGACGAGACTGATGAGGAAGATGACAATGAACTTACCCAGACAGATACTCCTACTCGGACACCACCTTCTGTGGTTGACAGACCACTTGATGTTCAGCAACCCCATACTAGCAATTATAATCTTAGATCTAGACCTCTCGTTTCAACCGTGCACTCACCACATGTCCATTGGCTAGATGTTAACGAGGATATCTCTCAAGATGATAGTTTGTCACATGAAGTTTCATCTGTTCCGGACCTTCAGTCAGAGCCAGAGTTGTATAGTGCTCTGGATGAGCTAGGTGTAGATATCCGCAGAATTTATAATTGATTGCACTCTGCAGTTATTCTGTTTTTTTTTTTTCAAAACAATCATTTGCAGTATTTCTACCACATGTGTCTTATTATTACCATTATATATAATGTATAGTTTTTCTCAACTTTATTTTGTTATAAATTAGATGCCATTGTTAAGTCTACTACCATTTGTATTTTTACAGTGCTTGTCATAAGAGTTATTATTGTTCTAGCAACCACATTGTGGCCAGTGAATCCTGACTGCTATCACGCAGATGTTAGTCTTCTTGATCCAGGTCTTGTATATGCTTGTAAATATATTGCACATTATATATATTGTACATTGGTCTTGTAAATATATTGTATTATTTCAAAAAAAAAAAAAATGAGAAAAAAAAAAAAAAAATCATTATCTATCTTGAAATTCAATTGTGGTTGTTAGGTCAGAACTTTGTTCCATTAATGTAATAATTGTTTAATTTTGTATGGTTTTCAAGCACATGCCATTGACACATGTTAATAATTTTGTTTAGGCAATACCTTGAGTTGTATTGTTCATATCTGATCAGTAGACATACACATGTTCTTAATACTCTGGTTTAATCAAAGAATTGTTACCATGATTTTCACCTATTATGATGAATTTTTTTTTGGTGCATATATGCCGAGTTGTTAGTATTACGCACACCTGATCTTCTTTCAATGTTTTATTATGCAAATTTCACATGTAAGCCATTATTGAATGCCACCGAGGTCCTTTCAGTATCATTGTAACTATATAGCTAGCCAGAGCTTGTCGACAAGGGACGTCGACTTGGTAGCGTGTCCGAGCGGTGTTATACTCAAAATTCTGTCAGTTGAAATGTAACCAATCACAGGCAAGTAGGCCTCTGACGTCATGCCAGACAGAGGAGCATCAGCGATGCTCCCAGCAGCCTCAGTTATCCTCACAGACCCAGAGTAGGTGGACCTCGGCTGGCCAGTTATACACCTGTTTGCCTCACTCAATAAATATATACAGAAGCGACTACTGTGTCTACATTCAACCCGAACAAGGCAAACGAATACATGCTTGTAAACTCAGGTTCCTGTACATACCATTATAAAGGTCAGCCATAAAATATACTTAAATAAAAAGATTACATTTAAATTGAAAAGTGTTTTCTTTAGTAGGCCTACGCAAGTTCAGAGGCCTGGTAGTTTTGTTCATATTTCCATGGGACCTCTCTGTGGTACCAGTCAATGCTTTGTGGAGTTACTGAAGCCTCTCAGAGAAGGATATTTCATTACAATGAATGCTTGATTTTTATTAACATTTTCGCTGGCCCAGAGGGGGCACTCAAATCGCACCGGAAGGTAGGCTGAGCATTCCCGGAGAGCACATAACCCAATGTTAAACTCATTCACCCACAATGTTTAAACATCATAATAAACCATTGCAAAAATTTTTGCATGACGCCGTTTGCTACAATCACACACTCCGGTTTTGGGTTTTATGACGAAATGTGTGAATGGACAGCGAAAGTGTTAACAGGATAAACCTAGGATTTTTAGAAGATATGGGCCAATATCCATGTGATTTACAAAGCAAGCCCATTGACTTTCTCATTCCTAAAACTTATTACTTTATTATGTTTACGATATTCTGTGAAATACTGTGGGAATAAAATCCTTATCTGGGATCTCCACTGAGCCAAACTCTTGACTTCCACTGCATGTTTTATTTCAAATTACTGTACTATGATGAAGCACTCAAGATATGCTGAACAGTAATTGAGGAAAAATAGAACACATGAAAAAGTATACCTAAGTGATACAAAAAATACAGTATATTTTTTAATCTCTCTTCTGACCATATGTAAAAACACAAAAACTATAAAACTGGTACAGTATTACCCAGAAATACTCACAAAGGAAATAGAGAAAAAAAAAAACAAGCTCCTGGCCATTGGTACCATATTTATATTACAGTACATTATTTTTAACAATTACCTCATCTATCGGCCTGGATGGAGGAATATCTTGTGTAGCAGGGATAGGAACCCTGTTTCTGTCAGTGGAAAACCCTTGGCTTGGGCCTGGCTCACATATTCTACTATCCTCTTCCATTATCTGCAAGAAATTATGTCAAATTGCAACAATCCTCATAGTTAACACCACAAGAAAACTTACTGCCTATACAGTTTAATAGTTATATTGCTAACTCATAAATGCTCTTTAAATACAGTACAGAACTTCTATACACTGAACATAAATGCTTCTAGGCCAGGAGGGGGGGGTAGTACCAGGAAGACAGGACACCACAATTGTTGTAATGCTTTTGCGCTACCGCTCACAGGATGAGTATGGGGTGCACAATAAACTAGCCGCCTTCGGCGGCAACAATCAATTGCTCTCATCCTGTAACCACAATTGGGTAATTACTACGGTCCATGACGGAGGCTACAATGAACTTGAAAAAGACAAAGATCAGACAAGACATACTATATACAGCCATAATAAAAAACCAGCGTTGAATGTAATGAAACGCCATTTTCTGGGTGAGTCCCGGAGGCTCCCCGGAGCTATCCCAGGCTGATATGCTAATGTCAGACTTTGGCATCAGTCATGTGTATGGAGTTCTTAGGCCTACCGGGGACCACGGCCAGAACCGGGCCCCCTCAGAGAGGCAAGGGGAGCAATGGCCTATAGAAGCCCCCGTGTAGTTGGAAGCATTCTATGTCTGCCATCGACCGGAACAGGCACCCAGAAAGGTAAGCGCCCCAAAACAAACCCCTATTCTGGTTAAAATTGCTACCTAAAACCGAACTAGTGGATAGAACTCCCCAACCGAAAACAAGCAAACTAGTGTGACGTCACACACTGCCGCGCCGCTGTCTGCGCAGCTCCCCCCTCCCCGGGAGGGGGAAGGGGGAGCCCCAGACCCCCCGCGCCGGCTACCCACACCTCAGTTCTTGAGGCTGGATGTCAAAAACGCGAAAAACCGCCGACCGGAGGGAGGGAGGGATGCCGGGGAGCCTCCGGGACTCACCCAGAAAATGGCGTTTCATTACATTCAACGCTGGTTTTCTGGGGGGAGCCCCGTCGGCTCCCCGGAGCTAACTACCCACAGACAGAAAAAGAGGGACTTACCCGGGAGGCGGTCGTCGCTCACCCCTCAACTCGAAGCCGAGACAACTGGCCGCAACCGCCGACCCAAAGCAACACAGGCCCGACGAGGCCCAGGGACATTCACAAGGTAACGAGCAGCCAGGACCCTGTTCGACCGCCAAAATCCCCGCGCCCGAATATCAGACCAAGACATATTCCCAAAGACGGCAGCAAGAGCCGCGAACTTACGAACGTCATGGGCACGGGGATAGACCGCAGGCTGGCTGGACCTAATAACCCTGCGGACGACCTGAGAGACCCGAACCCGCGAACAGGGAAGAAGGGAAACCGGATCAACCCACAGCGCGTCCCCGGACACAGAAGCTGTGGCGCACAAATAACGGCGAAGCGCCGCAACCGGACACAAAACATGATGCACCCCCGGCCTGACCAACCAAGCATCAACCACCCATGGACCCCTCCGGAACGCAGCAGTCTCATTCTTTGCCAGAAAAGAAGGAGACGGCTGCAAACGAACAAAACTATCACCACGACCTTCGCCTATAGCATCAGCCTCAAGAACTGAGGTGTGGGTAGCCGGCGCGGGGGGTCTGGGGCTCCCCCTTCCCCCTCCCGGGGAGGGGGGAGCTGCGCAGACAGCGGCGCGGCAGTGTGTGACGTCACACTAGTTTGCTTGTTTTCGGTTGGGGAGTTCTATCCACTAGTTCGGTTTTAGGTAGCAATTTTAACCAGAATAGGGGTTTGTTTTGGGGCGCTTACCTTTCTGGGTGCCTGTTCCGGTCGATGGCAGACATAGAATGCTTCCAACTACACGGGGGCTTCTATAGGCCATTGCTCCCCTTGCCTCTCTGAGGGGGCCCGGTTCTGGCCGTGGTCCCCGGTAGGCCTAAGAACTCCACACACATGACTGATGCCAAAGTCTGACATTAGCATATCAGCCTGGGATAGCTCCGGGGAGCCGACGGGGCTCCCCCCAGAAAAAAAAAATCAACAGAAAAGGATCAAGTTATTAAACAAGTTAATTGTGTTAAAAAGTGATTTAAGAATACAAATTCTGTACAGTAGAACCTCGGCTTACAAATGCTCCTATTTACAAATTTTTTTAGGTTACGAGCTCAATTTCTTCGTAAAATTCAATTTGGTTTACGAGCTTTGCCTCGAGTTGCAAGTTTGTTTATACACATATGGGTTAACCGAGCGCATGGTTCCTGGTGGAATGGGCGACCGCACCTCAGTTTAACAGTGCCTCCCACGTAGTTATGATAGCGCTTTAATTCTTTGTAAAGAATTTCATTGTTTTTCAGCTTTTTTGGTTTCTAAACATAAAACTAATTATTATATACCATACCATAAGTCCCAAGAAAGTCAGTGGCAAGATTCAACCTACAAAAACACGTGAGGATGACCATAGAGGAAAAACAAGTCTCTATGGAAAGGTTCTTAGTGAGACAAATAAGCAATGAGTCACAACCAGGAACTAGTTGTAAGCAGGCAAAATGTAGGAGAGAGGGAGAGTACCCTAGAGAAGTATAGTACTCACTGCCTGATGTTATAATGGAAGGAAACTACCCTTCCAAACACTAACACCTCTCCCCTCCCCCCCCCCCCCACTTTCTCTGGGGGTACTCTCTCTTCTACATTTTGCAGGCACACCATTAGGACCTGGTTGTGGTTCACTGCTTGCTTGTCGAACATAATGGGAACATAACCAAGAGTAGACTAAGTTTCTCAATAAAATGGATTACTGTTTCTTCCTTAAAAAGGTGTAGAAATAAATTAAACATGTTGGATTCAACTTTCTAAAAATTAAGTAATTAAGAGTAATTTTGTAATCAGCAGTCTTAACTCCAGAGGGGATTATGAGTACCTTCCGGTACCAGAAGACCCTGTTAGCAAAAAACCCTATGCGGTATCATACAAAGTGCATTCTGCAATATTTTCAGATATCTTAATCACCTAACTGCATTGCCAAATATTTTGATACATTGTCTGCAATGCAAACAAAAATAAAAAAAATTGTTCTGATTTTTTTTTATATTGTTAGCATCCAGGAAGCACTAAAAATCTATGTAAAATGTCTCTTATCTATCATAGGTAGCTGTAGTGGCCCCGAGAATTTGTTTCTTCAGTAGAAATGAGTCAAGGTGCTGCATGGGAATAACTAGGTCCACTTATTTTCATTGTTTCTCACTTCTATTATTTTTTTTGTGCTCACATGTATTGATGTGTCAATAGTGATAGTCATTATGTAAACTTTGGAAATACACATAATATACATAAATATTCATATACATAAATAAACATAAAACTAAGTCATGTAACTGTACATAGCAAACATTTTGCAATTAAATATCTACAGTGTACTGTACATGAATATCACTGATTTGCAGTTGTAAAATGTCAATTGTCCAAGCATTCAGTTACTGGTTGGTGATGCACCAGATTTGGTCAACATGTTTTTACTAAGGCCCTGGAAGGAAGCTAAGATAAGGTAAGCGAAGGGAACTATCAGTACAAAGCAACAACCCAGTACAATTAGATAGCACTTGGAAGAGATCAGGATAAGGATTTGGGATGGGATGGGAGGGAAAGGTACAGTGCCCAACCACTTGGGCAGTTGGGGATTGAACGCCAAGCTGTATGAAGCGAGACCACCACTCTACCGTCCAGGTCAAGGACGGCACTTAAGGAAGGAAACCAATTTTTTTTTTTTTATATATACTGTATACAGTGGAACCTCTATTAACGAGTTTAATCCGTTCTTGCACCGAGCTCGTTACCTGGAAAACTCGTCTTAAGAAACAAATTTCCCCATTTAAAATAAAGGAAATAAATTTAATCCGTTCCACTCCCAAAAACATCCATACTTGTATGACTTTTTTTTATGTAAATATAATACTGCACATGTAAATATAAATGTTTTGTTGTAGTCTTTTAATATTTACTTTACCTTATGAAGAGTAGTTGCTGGCTTGAGGGAGACGATGGGGAGGTGGGAAGGAGGAGAGGGGTTATGGTGTGGAAGGAGAACCCACCTCGAGTCAGGCGGACTCTCTCTTCTTGGGAATTTCACCCAAATTTCATTTCAAATGTCACACAAGGATGCGTTAGACCAGCACCAAATAAAAAACTACGTCGATTACACTCGTTGTGTCAACAATATAAGTCTTACCACGAAGATACAATACAATGCCGTTTTCTCAAATAGGCAATGTGGTTATTAAAGAAAACGGAAATTTCATGGCAAACATGTATACAATCCCCATGTCGATCGGATAAGAATTGGATTTTATAGAAATATTTGCTCAAATGACGCTTGAGCGCGGTGTTTGGGTGCATTCAAGAGAAAAAGTGTGTCACGTTCAAGCGACATATACCTGCGAAAGTGATAATACTTTCATAAAGTGTTATCACAAAGTGATAAATTAATTAAACATTTTCACACACCGGGTTGTCACTGCTTTATCAGGGCAGCTTTTCCATGAATGCGTTCACCTTTTCAAACATTCCAAACACTTCCCTGATCTCAGTGGAAGAGGCAGCATCCTCCCTTACCTCCTCATTCCCTTACTAATGGTGTAAATTGTTGATGAGGACCTGCCATACTCCCTTGTGAGATCAATCACACAGACACCACACTCATGCTTTGCTATAATTTCCTTCTTTAAATCCATAGTAATTGTGTCTTTCTTCCTCTTGACAACACTATCTTTAGCAAGCAGCTTCTTTGGAGACATCATGTGTTACAAATTGTAGTCGCAAAACCACTAAAAACCCAAAGAAAAGCTCAAATAAATCCAGAGGGATGCTTGTCGTGTGCAATACAACAACAACACTGGCGTCCGAGAATTTGCGAGAACCCGCGAGATGCTAGGAAGCACCATGTGGTTTTGCTCATTATTAGAGGCGAGCTCGTCAATAGAGACAAATTTGCTGCGAGTGGCTTGCTCGTTACTGGAAAAACTCGTTAATAGAGCCACTCGTTAATCGAGGTTCCACTGTATATATACCTGTACAGTACATACTGTACATACAAGGGTTCTTACATTCTTGTACAGCCACTAACACACATAGCATTTCGGGCAGGTCCTTAATCCTATTTTTTTTACCAGGAATACAACCCGCTAAATCGTTTAACAACCAGATACCCCTTCACTGCTAGGTGAACAGAGGCTACAGTTAAGGATTGGTGCCCAGTAAATCCTTCCTGGCCAGGATACAAACCCAAGTCAAAGCGCTCGCAAAGCGCCGGGCAAGTGCTTTACCACTACGCTATGGTGACTTTTTTTTTCCCCAAATAAAGCAAACAATTGATAGAGGTCTTTAGTGTCTAATGATGTCCCTCTAGAATGGGTGGAGCTTTTCAATAAAATGGGGCACCATAAATCATCTCCAGATGATTGGAGCATTATGACCAATCAGTCATACAACTGAGTGTGTGTGTATTATATTACAGTACATGTATATTATATACATGTACAGTGGCACCTCGACTTACGAATGCCCCAACTTATGAATTTTTCGAGTTACGGCGTAAATTTCATCGGAAAATGCGACTCGACTTACGGCCTTTGCCTCAACTAGTGACTTTGTTGATACGCATATGGGTCGAGCAATTGTGCAGTTCCTGGTAGCACTGCCGACCCTGCCTCAGTTTACCAGATCCGCCCGCTTAGTGACGGACGTGCTTTTAAAGAATTTCATTATTTTTGTGCTTTTTTTCTTTTTGAACAAAGTAATTATTATATATCACGCCATGGGTCCCAAGAAAGTCAGTGGTAAGGTTCAACCTAAGAAAACACATGCGAGGATGACCATAGAGGAAAAACTAGAGATCATTTGTAAACATGAAAATGGTACAAAAGTTGTTGATGTAGAGTAGAGGATGTCAGGTTATCTCGAGTTGATTTCGGGGCTTTAGTGTCCCCGCGGCCCGGTCCTCGACCAGGCCTCCACCCCCAGGAAGCAGCCCCATGACAGCTGACTAAACCCCAGGTACCTATTTACTGCTAGGTAACAGGGGCATAGGGTGAAAGAAACTCTGCCCATCGTTTCTCGCCGGCGCCTGGGATCAAACCCGGAACCACAGGATCACGTGTCCAGCGTGCTATCCGCTCGGACAGCCGGCCCCTTTAATGTCCCTTCCTCATTTATTAAGAAAATATGTGCAGTATGGGAAGAATTGCAAAGTTTTGCTGAAAAGATCACCCAAATCAAGCTGTAGCAAGCCACTGTGTTAACCTTTTTAATGACAATGTGATGTCTCACTTCAGACAGGTGTTACAACGTAGGGAAAAACAAACAACACTAGTCAGGTTTTTAGCGAGAAAAAATGCAGTGAGCCACAAGCAGGTCCTAGTGGTATGCAGGTAAAACATAGGAGAGGGTGCACCCCAGAAAAGTCATCACTGCCTGATGTTATACTGGAAGGAGACTTCCCTTCCAAACACTAACACCGCTTCTCCTCACCATCTTCCATATGCCAATGCGAGTCCTCATGCAAGATAAGATATACGTACATACAATACTGTTTTGTAGCTAGTACAAAATAAGTGTTATTCGGTATAAAATGTATTTAAGTAAATTTTTTTGGGGGTGTGGAACGTTATAATTCAATTTACATTATTTCTTATGGGGAAAATTAGTTTTGACTTATAATTTTTCGACTTACGACCCGACTCTGGGAAAGGATTAAATTCGTAAGTCGAGGCTCCACTGTATATTGGAAATTATATATTTTCGTAGACCAGGAGGAAGTTTTATATTGTTTTCCACACATCGTTAGAGAACAGTCCCTTTCACAAAGTACAGCATTTTCTCAGAAGTAATCTGAAAATCATCCAAGTAACCCCTTTAACATCGTGGTTATACACAGAGCAATCACACTAATGTGACTGCATCATGTTATGTGATGTGGTTATGTTGGCTCAACCTATTCTCTCAAATGATACATCATATTTTGATGCCAAAATCCCCGACAGGCACAAAATACGGTGTACAATACTATGAATTATTGCAGCTCATGAACAACCACATTTTCCATGCATGGTTAGATAGGTCAGGTTAGGATCATGCAGTTTAGTACACCATTTTTGTTCATTGTGGCAACTCAAGAGGACGGGCTGGTTGGTTACAGGCTCATAAGGTACTAAGCTATTTAAACATAAGCCTATGAAGTACCTGTATTGCACTATCCACATACACACTAGGCCTACTGTAGGAGGAACCCTTCTGATGCCGACCAGACTAAATGGGGCTTAACCCAACTAACCTAGTGATGTGTACATTGTGTGATGCTATTATATTTTATGCAAATATCACAGCAACAAATAGGTCTGTTCCCAAAATATTCTCCAATCCTCAAGTTAAGACTTATTATTCAGCAAATTCTCAAATTACTGTACGCTACAGAATGAGTATACCAATGGGTTTTCTTCCTATTAGAGGATGTATATGCTGCTATGCCATAAGTTCATTCATAAAATGAGTGATGCTGCCCAGTAAACTAGTCCTTCAGAGCAAGCTTTTGACTGTTGACCAAACCACACACTAGAATCTGAAGAGACGACAACGTTTCAGTCCGTCCTGGACCATTATCAAGTCGACTGTCTCCATTGATTTTTCAGCCACATTATTGTGACTCATCATCTGCACAAACTTTTGACTGTCGTTATTTTAGATTCAGCATTTTAGATCAAAAAGTTGCAAGTAGCATGGGTTATGGTGAGCCCGTAGTGGACTTACCTGGCACAGGAGCAGGGCTGTAACTTGTGTGTGACTTTTGACTGTACTCTTGCGACCTCTAGGTTTTCTCCGATATGATCCATTCTCCATTGATGCATGGCATACTGTATTTTTATAATTTACTTTGACATCTTTGTCAAACATGAATTCTTTGAGGATCATTAGGGTCCTCCTTAGCCAGGGGCAACTGCAGTCACCCATCTACTCACTGGGTAGACTCAATGGTGTTTAACCAGACTAACATACTGTACACCACCCTTGGTAAATTTGTTACATTAGGTTTATTTTATTCATGGTGAGTATAGGCATAACTACATGACCAAAAAAAAAAAAATACAGTCTGCAACGAGAATTCGATAGACCTACTTAAGTCATCAATCATGGCAAATCACATATATATCAATACCATACACTATAACTCCTGCCTTCTTGAACTGTCAGAGCACAGCATAAGTAAAGGCTTTGAAGACATACATGATATTAGAGGTTTATATGTATGTACAGCATACAAACAACACATACAATACAAGCCTATACACACAGATCTATAGTTGTCATGTTGTATTGGACAGTAAATGACGGATCTGTCAGTGTAGAGTACCATATGTCAATGTTTCCAAAGCAACAAACCCAGCTGTATATAGATCACAAACTAAAAAAAATAATTACAATGCATTGCACAAGCAAAAAAAATAATAAATACGTAAAAATCTGAGAAGCGTTAGAAAGCCCAGAGAAAGTATTAGAAAAATATAATGGAGACGGCCGACAGACTGATGACTTAAGACTCATCATACACTCATCATATACTCAACATACGGTGATCTGATCAATGCAGTACACGGATCAATGAACTCAATACTGTCAAACAGGTGAATTAATATAATCACTTCCCGAGTCTTAAATCACAACACGACTCCTTAAGTTACCTACGAGACGAGGACTGACAAGTGACATCTAACCTGTCAACCTCCCAGCTGAGCTGTGCCGACCAGGATCATCCAGCCATTATCACATTTACTCTTCACATGCTCGGCCATGTGGAGGGATTCGAACCTGGGCCACACTCGCCGTACGGTGGCAGGAATCCCTCGATCGCCACACATCGAATCCCGGACACCCACCACCAAACTACATCATTAGACCCCGTCGACGCCTAGTTCGACCCTTAGTTAGTAATACTTACCTAATAGTTAGCGCAAAATGGGTGCCAGTACGGAGGGGTTTTCAGGATATAAATACGGTCAACATGGCGTCTGTGTTAGTGTGTAGTGGTGAGGGTGGTGCCATCTGTTGGCGCCGGCCGTCCCTCGCCCGCCCAGCCTCACCCGCCTCCTCTTGCATCATCATATATAATACCTCTATTCCTATTGTTATATTTCAGTCAAAATCATCTGCTACCCAAAATTTTTTTTTCTCCAAATATCCCCAGTTTGCTAACTGCAGGTTATTAGCTGGGTGATTCAAGTTCCAGTTCAAGTACGTTTATTGAGACCATAAAATACATCTCAAAAGTAGGTTAGGCCTTATATATAGGCTTTTCCTACTCTCCTCAAGTTCCAGTTCAAGTACGGAACTTGAGGAGGGTAGAAAAATTAAAAAATCCTCTACTACAAGTCCCTCTAGGGGCGCACAAATCCACAAATAACAGTATATGAATCACATTTTGCATTGTAGATTAATATAGTAAACACAGCATTTAGTGTTACACTTAAGGCAAAGTGCTTGCAGTTCCTAAGTATTCTGTATTCACCTAGTTGTGCTTGCGGGGGTTGAGCTCTGGCTCTTTGGCCCCGCCTCTAAACCGTCAATCTACTGGTGTAGAGGTGCCTGAGCTTCTCGAGCTCTATCTACATTTGAAACTGTGTATAGAGTCAGCCTCCACCACATCACTTCCTAATGCATTCCATTTACTAACTACTCTGACACTGAAAAGGTTCTTTCTAATGTCTCTGGCTCATTTGAGTACTCAGCTACCACCTGTGTCCCCGTGTGCGTGTACCACCCGTGTTAAATAGTTCATCCTTGTCTACCCTATCAATTTCCCTGAAAATTTTGTATGTGGTGATCATGTCTTCTCGAGCTCTTCTTTCTTCCAGCGACGTGAGGTGCAGTTCACTCAGCCTTTCCTCATAACTCATGCCTCTTAGTTCTGGGACTATAGCCTAGTGGCATACCTCTGAACCTTTCCCAGCTTCGTCTTGTGCTTGACAGGTACGGGCTCCATGCTAGGGCTGCATACTCCAAGATTGGCCTTACATATGTGGTATACAAAGTTCTGAATGATTCCTTACACAGGTTACTGAAGGCAGTTCTGATGTTAGCCAGCCTCGCATACGCTGCCGATATTATTCTTTTGATGTGGGCTTCAGGAGACAGGTTTGGCGTGCGTGCGTACGTGTGTGTACTCACCTAGTTGTGCTTGCGGGGGTTGAGCTCAGGCTCTTTGGTCCCGCCTCTCAACCGTCAGTCAACAGATGTACAGATTCCTGAGCCTACTGGGCTCTATCAAATCTACATTTGAAACTGTGTATGGGGTCAGCCTCCACCACATCACTGCCTGAAAATGTATATATGCTAGTTAGCATTGTAAATGTGTGGCCACGTCTGTGGTAGAAAATAATAATAATAAAAAAATGTCTAATGCATTCCACCTGTTAACTACTCTTACACTGAAAAAGTTCTTTCGAACGTCCCTGTGTACTCAGGGTACTCAGTCTCCACCTGTGTTCCCTTGTTCGCGTACCACCTGTGTTAAACACTTTATCCTTATCTAACCTAATTCCTCTGAGAATTTTGTAGGTAGTTGATCATGTCTCCCCTTACTCTCCTGTCTTTCAATGTCGTGAGGTGCATTTCCTGCAGTCTTTCCTCGTAACTCATGCCTCTTAGTTCTGGGACTAGCCTAGTGGCATACCTCTGAACTTTTTCTGAACCTCTGAAACGTTTTCTGAACTGTGTGTGTGTGTGTCTGTCTGTCTCAATCGGCTGTTTATGAAATTGCGTTTTAACTCCTGGGTTCTGCTTCTTAGCCATGTACGGTTGTATTGTATTTCCGATCTGAACTCTCGTTTTATGAAGTTAATTAACTAGCGTTCTATTGGCTTTAATTTACCTTAATTTTTTTTATTAACAAGCTTAGATATACACAACAATGTGCTGTAACCCAATTGTTAAGATTACCTAAGGGCCATTAACACACTATAATGGCCTCGACGAAGACAGGAAGCCGGTGGCTTGTCAAAGGTCCTTCCATTTGTCCTGATGATTAAATAATAATACTGGTAATAATTTTATTTATTAAAGATGCATAAGAACATATTATAGTGGTTTATTTGCAAGTACAGAGGTTGCATATGAAATAAAGTCACTTCTGGCTATGTTGAACTTTCTCAGTCGAAAAAGTTTTTCAATCACCATCTATATTTGAAGATGAAATCTCCATGCTTGGATAAGGTAGTTCAGATGGGGCGTACCAGTCCTGTTCCGTTGAACAACTCCTTAATTGCCAATATACCTCCTATTCTGTTATTTTGTTCCGCACTTCACTCACACTTAAGAAGTAGGCCTATAACGCCCTCTTCCTTGCAGCTGATCTTTAGTAATTTCGGTTTGTTTCCATATGTGCTTTCACTCAAACGTATCAAATAGCCTGTCTGTTCACTTATATAGATGATGTACTTGGAAGTAAGCCTATTGTGTGCATATTTTACCACGTCTTATTTGTGACATAAATTCTTTTCTTCCCCTATTAAGAGGCTTATTCAACCTGGTATCACACGTATATCACTGCCCGTTTGTTTGTTTTTCTATTTTTTTTAATTAGCCGGTGAAAGCATCGTACATGTCAAATGCCTTGACAGTCTATCACCTCTTTTGCCATCCTAAATTATATAATTGTTTAATCCAAGATCATTTAAGTGAATATACCAGATCATATATAATCAAGACTTTAATTGTTCCAGTTTACAGTCATCTGCAGTAGTAGGTCTGATGTGCTCCATAATATCTCAAATCAATTACTTTTTACATAGTAAATAAACCTTAACAAAAGAGTGTCCTAGTCGCATTACAAAAAAAATTATCCCATAACCGAGAGTAAGCTAGGCTATTAGTCTATTGATATTGTGCTATTATCTTTTGTGGATCGGCTGAAGCCGTAAATGCCAAGACATTACTTCAGTTTAAAGTTCAGCTGAACAAAATCCTCAGGGACACTATAGGAGACCTAGCTTTGACAAGCTGCCGACTAATTCGTGTCCTCGTCGAGGACATTAAGGAGGATGGTCCTCAAGTAAAATCCTATATACAGTAGTTGATTTCGCATAAAAGTCCCTTATTTGAAAGAAATAATAAAGCTTATCTGGCTTCAACTACAGTATATGGCTTCCAACCTCAAACAAAATACTGTAATAGAATATTTTGTTAGCAGTTTTTCTATAGATATATCTTACTGAATATGCCAGAAAGGTTTGAGATCAATTATTCTAGCACGAATCTTCTCAATATTTCTTATGTTCTTCACTTGAGAAGGAAGTTGAAAAATTAATTCTTCAAAGTACTTTTTACAGCTTTATTATAGCCTGATGCTAAGAGCTACATAAATATTTTTATTTTTCACCAAACCTATCTTTTTTATATATTTTAACCCAATTCTTTTACTATAAAACACAAATCGTACATATAAACGGTGTATTACGTAGTATAAAAACTAAGTTCTTGATAATTGTGGTCCGTTGAAGTTTTCACCTAGAAGCATCATTTTTCGAGATATACACCATTTCCCATTAATAGTCGAATTGAGCTTGGCAGCCATATTGAAAAATATCTCCCCCATACCAGGCTCGCGTACCGAATCTAGAAATCTTACCTGAGCATTAAGAAACAATCTTAAGAGAGAACAACTGTATACACTTTAGTGCAATGATCACCTACTATGTGAACCTGCACAATAGCAGGTTTGCCTGTGCAACAAAGAAAATGAACTGGTCATGTAGAGATTTAACGACTGGGCAAGCATAACACAAACTGGGCTACTGAGTGTTTATCTAACAACCAAATGATTGTACTTCGTCGTTCTCGGACCAATTGTTGATTTATATTTGACTATATAACCAGTTTCTCAAGACTGCAGTTTGCTTAGCTAAATGAATTTTGGGGGTTCAGTTCCCAAGCCATTATGAGCCTCTGAATCCTTTTTTTCAACTACCATCTACAGAATGGGTATGGGGTCCACTAGCTTCCACTGGATAGGTATGGGGTCAACTAGCGTCCACTGAATAGGTATCGAGTCTACTGTCGCACACAGAATGGACATGGGGGATGCATAACAAATAAATTAACACCTTAAGTACCTTAAACTCAGTACTAAGCGTTGGGCTCTGTACCTTTTTTATACTTAGGAAGTCAAGAGAATTTTCTACTGTACCAGCAGCTGGGAGACTTACCGAATGTGTATGATATACATTTAATCGATCTCTCACTCATACAACAGTGTTAGATTTGCTACACAATCCATCCTCTCGAGTAGTACATAGCATTTTGAAGTATAAATCCCCCAAGGGCAAAACAAATGTATTAAAAATCACAGTAGCTCCCAGAATTGCCATGGTGTCCCGTTTTCTATTCGTGGGTCCTCAGTTAACACGTGATGTAGCTGGTGAAAGAAGTGAGCGCAATGGAGATAATAATTAATAGTAATTGTGTCTGGGGACAGGCAGCCAGAGTGTGTTTATACACGTTAGGCTTATATTGTGGTCACTCATCACACCCCCACCACGAGGTCGAATTACTAATTCCCTCCCCCCTCACAAGGATGCAATCCCACAACAAGCTGACTAACTCGTATATAGGTACCTACTTACTGCTAGGTGAACAGGCTCATCAGGTGTAGGGACACCAATTTCTGTCCCGCCCGGGATTCGAACCTGGATTTCTGGAGTGTGAGTCGAGAACGAACCCGAGTGTACTATGATAATTAGGCCTTGGTAAGAATGGCGTAAGTAAATGGATGCGATATCTATGGCTATATATAGGTTAGCGATACTAGCAGTGATACGAGCACGATTGGAGATATCGTGTACTCCCGTAAACACAATTTATAAAAAAAAAAAAACGATTTGTAATCCAACAGAATTTTGAGTATGTAGCCTAATAATAATAATAATAAAAA